ACCACAACTTGTTGACAAAGACTTCATCAAGAAAGAGAGCTTTCACGGAAATAATACGTACATACTTGACAAGTTCGCATTTGCCACGCAGAGAGTACGAGAAGAAGCTGCACTCGCGAAACTGTGAGCTGCAGAAGCTGAGGCAGGCGCTAGCAGATCTGCAACGCCAGATTGACGAAAAACAAACGCTTGTCGAGAAAGAAACCGAGATGCAGACCAAGATAGACCAGCTGGAGAGGGAAGTGCAGGATAAGAACACCGAAGTACACGTGAGTAAGAATGATTCTGACTGTCATACTTGGGCACGACGCGCAACTATGTGACCTTGTCGGAATATCACAGTGACGAAAGAAATGCGTCACTTGACTTCATGCGGATATTAATTTCGCATGATCCAAAGCGAGCGTTAAGTGCTTCCCAGAGGCAATTATTTTGGGAGGATATAAATGCTCATGTCTGCGGTGAAGCGGATTTTCATACCTACCACGCTGAACGATAAGCCCCCCTCTAAAACAAAAAAAGGAGGGAGGCGTTGCTTGATACACGAAATTTCGCCTATGCCGATAGTCAAAGAAAGCGGTTTGTTGCAACTGCCGCCACCACTACCGAAACCCACGAGGGAATTTATCGCTTGTCGATTGCTTAAACTTGGTGTCACAATGTTAAAACATCAACGCACAAGATATATAAATTTTGTCACTGATAATGTTCGAAAGTTTGATAAATAAACTGTTGCAGTAACCAAACACTACACATTCCAATTTCAAGTATTAACAACTTCAGTTGTTAATTCTATCGAATTAAATATTCGGCTTGCTTTTCTTTTCCTAAATGTTACCCATGGAAAAAAAAATGCCTTTACACTTATTCGTGATGCCTTATCTTACTCTCACATGAAGGCTAAATAAAAAAAGAAATAAAAAGGAAGAAAATGAAAGAACCTTGTGTGGGTAGTGTGTCATGTTTACATAACAAGGTTTTCACGAGAATAAACACGTACCATGCACTTTTCATTTAATAAAAGGAACAGATAAATGGTCTAAAAAAACGGGAAAGGACAACTATATAGCTCGCATGTTGCCCCTTTTTATCACTAGCTAGCTCATGCTTATTTAGCTAGGTAGTGTCACGAGAACATTTTTTAGGTGTGCATAGTTTTAGCACGTGCCACTGAATTAAGTGTCCACACACTATTAACTTCCTTTGCTTTTCAGGAACTAAGGCGCAAGCTAGATGCAGTTCAACTTTCATACAAAAAGGAACTGGTGAAGGAGAAGGCACAAAACAAAAGCTTTCAAAAACAAATGCAGGCTTTAAGGACTGACAATGAACTGCTCCAGAGGAAAATTAAGGTGAGGTAAAACATGCACAGGACCAATCCCTTATCTATAACCTACTTTAAAATATATAGACAAATATTCAAAACATCAAACACAAGCAGTGTGCATACAATCTAACATAAATATCGAAATGGAGTGTGTGTGCTTCAATTCAGTCAAAATTAAAACCGCAAAAAAATCGTATGCAATTTCCACCCTCATGCGAGTGCGAAAATGCCTTTAGTACTCTTCAAAATAAGTGGCAATCTTAGTTATGATGAACAAAGTATATTGTAGACAGCTAGAGACTATGTGCTACGTTATAAAAGCAAAACTAGTATTCACGGTATATTGATAGGATAACAGGGGCAGCCATTTTGTGACAAAAGATATTATTAGAAATGACTGCAAAATCAGCATAAAAAAGCATAGTCTAGTCAAATGAATGTCATTTATTTTTCAACATTTTTAGCAGGTCCTACGCATGCACCTTTGCAGCAGAGTGCACGGGCATCGGCAGGATTTATTGAGGAGTGCAAAGCTGTGTTACATCATAGCCGGGGAGTGAGGGGAGGGAAGAGGAATGCTGTTGTAGTTTAGGTGGGACAAGTGCCCCTATTGCAGCCCCCTGGCAACACCCATAGCTGAGTGTAACACTATGTCCCAATAGAACAAAGAAAAGACATCGAAAGTATGTGCAGATGTGCAGATAACTTTCAAATGCCTACATGTACTGTGAATACGTGCATACCTCAACTTGGGCATTGTCTGCAAGCATTACACTGAGAACCTCTATGCACAGCTGAGGCATACTACAACTAAAGGCATGCTATAATGAATGCATGCTAGTGGTCATTATAAAGATCCCCATAAACCTAAGGATCCTCTTCAAATGTTTAATGAGTCATCATAATCAGAATTTATTATAAAAATTTGGTACAAGTGACAGGTATTTAGTATATAGAAGGAGGTCCCATAGTCAAGAGACTGTATTGGGACCTCCTGTACAAAAGCAATGAGCTAATAAACACTTTATAACACCATTGTCTATTGCTTCAATTAGGTAGCATCTAACAAAGAAATGTTTCATTATCAATTTCCCAACCCCCTTTGTTTATCAATTAAAAGGGTTTTGCTTGCATGAAAGGGTGGTGATTGGGTATTTGTTCTTTTGTTATACCTATTAACACAACATACAATGAAACTGAGGAATGCACAGAAAACGTTGTCTGTAACTTCTAACTGTATAATAGTAATTATGACAAAGAAGGAAGGAGTTGAAGTGGATGGAAAATCGACTTGCTGAAAGTTGGGACCGAAACTACAACCTTCGGAGAGCACGTCCGATGCTATGCCGATTGAGCAAGCCGATTTTTCTTCCACTTTAATTCTTTTCCATTCATGTCACAATTACTATACTACAGTTAATCAGCTACAAATAATGTATTTTATACTTTCCTTAGCACCATTGTCTATTGCTTCAATTATGTAGCAGTCTAACAAAGAAATGTTCCCTGCTATCAATTTCCCCCTTCTTTTGTTTATCTATTGCAAGGGTTTCACTCCAGCACACTTGATGCCTTAGGTAGCATGCGTGGGTTTATTGGTGAGCTTTGAGCTCATGCTCGTGCTACATGATGCCAGCTGCCAAAAAAAAAAAGTGTTCCATTCTTGCTGTCATGGTTGTGGGCTGTGCAAACCAACATTCCCAGAATTACATATTCATAAATACTAGAATAAAGTATGTGTGAATGTGACAGCTGCTGTAGCACAATTGGTGAAGCAAAGGGCATGTTACCCAAAGGTTGTAGGTTCATCCCCTACCTGTGGCAGGTTGACTTTTCATTCACCTAATTTTTTCCAATTGTGTCATATAGTTATTATACTACAGTTAAAAATCAACAAATAATCTCCCCTGTAGCTTCCTCATTTTTGTTGTCTGCTGGTTTTATTACAGGCTTTGCAATGACAGTAATGACATTATATGTCTTTCAGGATGCAAATACACAGTCTATTTTTCTGAACCATAGAGACTTTCTCTGTCTCAATGGAGACTCTAGTGACCCAAGGTATATTTTCACGGTAAGTTACAATTACGACGCAATACACTAAATGTCAAAAGGCAGCAGTAGCAGGAACTTAATCGAACGTACAAGTTGTGGTAAACCATATGACATACAAGAAAGTTTTGGTTAACGTTTTTGCTACCTTTCAAATGTGATGGCAGTCAACTCCATTAAGCTTAATTCACAGGTTCTTGTAGTTACTGATGCATCCCAGTGGCAGACTTTCATCGCAATCACTTTAATGAGGAGTTCAAAGCAGATTGTGTAATGCCCATAGTTTCCATGAGCAAAAATCGGACAAAGCTTGACTAATACACATGCCACACTTTATCTTTGCTTATGAATCACCATTCCACAAGTTTTCAGAGCAGCATAAACCTCACAAGCATCGTGAATTCATAGATTAGCATATCTGAACCAAATCCAACTGATCTACTGTTCCAATTATTAGACAATGTCCTGTAAGGTAATGCTATAGGCAGTGGTTTTAGGCAAGGCACTGTTTCCTGGGTTTATGCCGACTGATAATTCCAGATATTTCCAAAAGTACTACAAGAAACAATGCATATCATGTGTCACATTGGCTGCATATACACTTAGTGTTAAGGATATCAGGCAGCCTGAGATATGCACACTAGAAACTGTAATACTAGGTCCTTAGTTTTGTAATTCATCATTGTTTGTCAAAAAAAAAAAAAACTTCACATTTCAGTCCCACGTGCAATGAGAGTTGGAAGAAAAAGTTGTGAAAAGCAGTGAAAAGAAAAGTTGTATGTATGCGGTATAAAACATAAAATAACTATGAATTAGCAGTGACGTTTAGTTTAATTGACTCAATTCTTGTGAACAGTAGCTTGACAGCAGCTTTGGCTGTAGTACTATACCCACAGTGCAGGGATGAATATGATATTAATCAAACCTTTTATGGGTCACATATTTCAGAGGTAGTGCTGAAAGGTTTACACTAGCACGGACAAATGGAAATGCACAAGTGTGCCTCCCAAACGTGCACCAGTTATGTGCGCAGTTGTATGCGTCGTTTTCTCATAAGTGAAGCTCTCTCGATCATTGGCTTATCTGTAATCGGTCGTTTCTGATATGGTGATCAGATCTTTTATCTTCGTCACTTGTCATTTCACATTGCCATATTTCATTGCTGCATTTCAGAGTTGCATTTCATTGTTTTACGCATGACCATCATTGTCACCTGTAGCAACAGAAGAGTTGCACTGCTATGCACGATGGTGAAGGTGCGTGCGAATGATGGCATAGATTAAGGAAAAAGTTTGAAAGCAGCATTGCACAAAGTGATAAAAAAAAGAAAAATGGCAAGTCAGGCACGCATACACCAAGCTTTGTTTGCCCCCATTTCCTCAATAGGGGAAGAACTCCCAATTTTTTCCTCTCGGAAACATAAAGCATGTGCACTGGTGCTGAAGCTGTTTTCTCACTACAGTAGATTGCCTTGTGCTACCCATACAGTCTGTTCAAACAAAGAATGACACGTATCCAGTCCATCATTTTGCATGGTTAATATTTGATAAAGGTAGATGCAGTATAGGACACGTGGAGTGGTGGTTAAAGTGATTAACTAGAAGTTGAAAAATCTTAAGTCTCATGTGCATACTGTTTTTATGTTTTGCAAGAATTGTTCAACATTGTTATAGACAGACAAACAAATTCAGCCTATTCGTTTGCACACAACAGCTGTTTGTAGTAAATGTCATGCGAGACACACACTATGCGCAGCAGAGTGTACGATTGTGAGCATTATTACAGTAAACACATGAGCATATGGTGAATAGCCTCAAACCGCAACTCAACCGATACTCGAATATCGCTGTCAAAAATAAAGTGAAAAACATGAAGCCTTTCTGTGAACTGTTGCTACTCCCACCACCTGTCTGTTTTTATGACCCGTGAAGTATAGCACACCAATAAAAGCTTCATGTTGTAGCACCTGTAGTAACACTCATGCACAGCAAAGAGCAGTAATGTTTTTTTTAAGTAACTGTGCAGCATTTTGATTTTATGTTTTACATGCATACACACAAGTATAGCTCAGCGAAAATTGTAGAACTCGCTCAGCTCACTCACGAAATATCTTTTGCGCTTTGAACTCAGTCGAGCTCAGACTCATCAGTTTCTTTTTGGTCGAACTCACTCTGACTCGGACTCACCAAAATATTGCTCACCCAGACTTAGACTTATGACTTGATCTGAGTCAGAGTTTGAGCGAGTGAAGTCATGAGCCCATTAGTCTAGAATTAGCTTTTTCGACCATGACATTTATACACCAATATCTCACATAATCAGTGCTCTTAGCACCTTTTGATATATCAGCAACAACAGCTTAATTTGGGCGAGTTGGTTCATCGTAGTTCTGTTCTAGTAACAGCAAGGCAACTGTAGAAAGAGACGAAAAGGACAGGAAAGAGCGCTTCTTGATAACGTCTTGAAAGAACACAACCTTGATATACCACTTTCGAATACGAATGATGAGAGATGCAAACAAGTAAGAACGTTTTTCTTGAAAATGATGACATCACAAGATATATTTGTCCAGAACTTCCATAAAAGAGTAAGCGAGGGTGGCAGTTCAAGACACCCCCCTACATAACTCATGCACCTGATCAATAAATATAGAAATGATGTATGAACGATACTGTTTTAAAGTATGTGTGGTAGATGTTCATGTAAACAAGAATCAAGGTAAGGCTCATAGTAATGCTGGAGTAACTAGAAAGGACCATAGTTTGGCAAGCGAAAGTAGAACTCATTCAGCCTCACAAATACTATGTCCCGCGCTTTGGGCTCCCTCGGACTCGGACTCGCCAAAATTTTCCTGAGCCAGACTCACTCGGACTCGCACTCACGAAAATTTTCTTCAACCAGACTCACTCAAACTCGAACTCACCAAAATATTACTTGCCCGGATTAATTCCGACTCACGACTCAGTCTGGGTGCAAGTAAGACCAGGCGAGTCGACTGGTGAGTGATTTCGCCGACCTATGCCCCCAAGTGAATGGAAAGACGGAATTTCGCATGGTGCTTAAGACAGCAAGCTGCTGTGGTCTACTTGGCATATAAGACTTATAGTCGCGGGGGACCTGCGATACACAATAGGCTGCCATTTTTCATTGGCAATAGTGAGGCAAATGGGCTGACATTCAGTGTGAACGCGGCAGCCTTTCAACTTCGTTTTTCAAACAGTGGCCATTGTGAATCAACCTGCATCAGTTTGAGGCTATTGGTCACTTGCTCGCATGTTCCTTTTAAATTGCATGTGATAGTACTTCCCTGGATCACTTTCAGGTTTGCACAAACTGTTTGCATTCAGTCCTGAATACAGTACATGTCAGTGCCATGACACTTGCATAATAACCAGAGCTGAACAAGCAAGCGGAGATACCACATCCGTATCTGTCTCATTTGTGAATACTTAAAGAAGACAGTAGACAAAAACTTCTGCCAATATAATACAAAGACTTGGTAGTACCTTTATATAAAACAAGATTCTTTATTTTGACAAGAACCAAACATGAGACAACTATTCATAAACTGATCAGAGATGAAAAACCGTTAAACAAACAAAGGCAGTCACTGCTTAACATCATTTCTTCCGAGTGTGCATAGAAAAGTACCTTTGGTGTGTGAAACGGTGAGGTTTTCCATTTTTAATGCTCTCACTATCGCTGCTTGTTGTGTTCCACATGATTAGGCTGGTGCTCCTTTGCTACCAGTACAATATTAAGAAAGATGACTTGCTGGTCAATGTATGTATCAAAATGTATTAACAAGTGGGCATGCTTGAGTTTCTAAAAAGCGTGCAGGCTACTACTTTACAGAATTTCTCGCTATGAAAATAAGCACAGAAATAGAATGGAAAGAAGAAGATACATGCATATTGAATACTCTATCCTACACATCTCTTTTTTTTTGTACTATTACAGCATTCATCATTATAGACATGTTGCACAAGCCAGCCCAGCGACTCACAATTCTAGAGCCTATTTCCCAGCTATTCATAACTTTGAGGTTTCATTACTTATAGGATGTAAATAGATGATGCAGGTGTGCTAATATAAAACTGGAAAGTTTTCAAAGCTAAAGTTAGCTAACAAATACTTGCGCAAACAACACTGCAGGGCATGGACCAAGAAAAAAAGGAGCGTCTGCTGGCTCGGCTCAGAGACATTGACCTCAGCGGCACGCTGTCAAGAACATGGCCAAGAGACCACGGGCGGCTCGCCGGCTTTCGATGGACTCGCAGCAGAGCCGACTTAGGCTAGAGTCCATGGCCGCCAGCGATTCCTTTCTGAATGAGTCTTTGTCGAGTGAAAGCAGTCCGACGGAACAGATGCCTCCACTTGGCCCGAACGTCGTGAAGGCTCGCCGCATGTCTGACACTCCTGTGAGGAGCCGAAGGGGCAACAGTTTGAGCAGCATTCTCGAAATGCAGGTACTGCGAATTCACGGCAACAAAAGTGAGGGCGCAATGAAAGACAGTAACCTGGGAGACGATACGGAAAGGAGCCTCTCTAAGCCGATACCTGAGAGTGGCAAGAGCCGAAAAATTTGTGTTCAAGGACCGACAATTGGCAGGGAGAGAGTCTGCTGCAGCTGATACAGCTGCTGAAAGCTTCCTGCCGTGGCAACAGTGGGGTTCAACCTGCTGAATGCAGGAATGCCCAAATGCACGGAATTTCCAGACTAGGCTAATTGCTACATGTATAAAAAGAACAATACAGACAACAGGACAACAGTTCCAGTGAACAGCAGAAGCACACCAATCATTAGCTTTTAGTATCAGTTGTGTAGTTTAGAAACAGGACACAAAGGTGCAATTCTGCATTTTTTATATGTTTCTTGTACTATTGTCAGTACTGCTTGGCATGTTTAACACAATTTAGGCTTTCTATTTCTAATGCATTCATCAAGATCACTTATACCATAGAGCTTCCTGTTAAATTTATCAGAGTGTTAAATTTATCAGAGAGTATCAATCAACAGCATTGCTAGTGTCAAAGACGGCCAAAAGTATGGCATTTAGATAATGAGCGAATGATGGCTAGTCCATAGATTTACTTAAACTTCATTCATATGGCTCTAAATCATGTTGAAATCTTGCGAATTGATTGTTCTCAACAAAATATTGCTTATAAATGCAATAATTTACAAATTACGATGCAAAAGCCAGAGCATTAATCAAGCAACCAGTTCTCTTGCTACGTTTCTGAAACTGTTACTGCACAGAATTTTACGAACTGTAATAAATACTATCACAATAACGCTTGAAGCCACAAGCCCGGCGGTTATATGAATTCAAGCACTGCTGATCATTCCCATTATAGCTGAATGTTTACAGTGCCACGGGTTCCTTTGAACAACCGAGGATGATTTCACGGTCATTTTCATAAGCCTGTAAAAGCAACACAGGAATATGTCGTTGAGATGAATCAGAAATGTAACCTATCTCAAAATCGCACATTAAAATTAAAATTTAATTAGCAATGATTAAAAAGTTAAGTTTACCTTACATACACCTGACACAAATGGACAACACCGTAAAGTAGGTTACAGAGTTAATTGTAAAAATGTACTTGGATACATTTCCAGTGCTTAGACAAAAAAGAAAAAAAAAACATGCAAGCAGGTAAACAAAAAGGAATGATAAGAACAGTGTGCAACATCTTTCTTATACAGGCTATTTTAACCAGTAACAAGTAATTTTCCGTTCTCGCAGAGTGCTCGGATGGCTTTGTGGTAGCGATTAGTATTAAATAGTTTGTCCTGCCATGCTGTAAAAGTGCAGCTTGAAACATATCGATGTCGATAACATGATCAAGATATTGATGGAAATGCTCGGACAATGTCATCGATCAGTCATTATTAAAAACAGTCATCAAAGAGACGTTCACACTTCCAAAAAGTGAGTAAATGTGATTACCTATACAACTTTGAAACCTCTTATGTGTCAGTTACTGAGGCTCGCATACATCTGCAGTCAATTGAAGCTCATATACATATGCAATTCCCTTATAATTATTTAATGAAAGCTGTATACTTTTCCTCACATAATTATTCAAGCTTCGGGTGTCATTATCACTGGCGAAGCCAGCAGACTTACACTGATATTTCCGACTTGTTCAGTTTAGTAGGTTGCACGTAAATATTTCTGAAATAATGCAAGCAATAAAATAAAAGAAAAACTAATAGATCCAAGTATAAACAACCTTCACGTAGCTCTTCCACATAAGCAGCAGAAGTTCAAGAATACTTCCAGGAGAGGAATCTTTTTTTTGCAGGCTTAATAATTACAGCCACGCTCTTAAAGGTAAACAATGCATTGAAAGAAAAAATGCTGTCTGAATATTCATGTGCGCTCCATGAATGATGTGATAGTTGCATTAGAAAACCGACAATTTCAGGGGAATATAAATATATAATGCGAAATTCTCGTACTGTCTATGTTGAGTTTCCCAGGCATAGATGCTTTAGTTTTTGGTGTAAGTAAAAACATAATGTGATTCTGCATTATGTAGATGTTACATTAACGTTCTTGTGCTCATGCGCATAATGTTGCAGGTTCGACCCCAGTCGCAGTGACTGAATACTGATAGAGTGGAACGCACAAATGTTCATGTACTTTGCAGAAGGCACGTATTATTGAAACCCACACGATCAAAACTATTCCAGACCTCGCTTATATTCTGTCCTAGACGATCCACTGTGCTGTATTTGAGCAATAAACTCTACATGCTAATTTCTAAAAATATGTATCTGGTGATAACACTTGCCCTGAAGTGATGAAAACAAAGTGGGCTATTTTAGTCTTTGAATTAAATGTACGAGCACCCTTTGTTTAAAGGGACACTAAAGAGAAAAATGATTTTTTTCGTATTAGGAAAGTACACAACTGAAGATACCAAAAACACCATGCTTGTTATCAGAAAACGCTTCGTAAGCAAGAAAATGTGCAAAAAGAAAAAAAAATGTGGAAGGTGAAGCCACCTGAAAGTGCCTACACCAGTTGCTATGATTTGGTAGACTTTGATGGTACGTACCAGAGCCTACTAAGTTCCTGATTAGTAAAAATAAGTACATCATTTCATGAGGATGGATGAATGCATGGATGGATGGATGAGGAACTTTATTGGGGTCCTGAAGGATTCCACCCCCGTTTTATAGGAATAGGATCGCAAGCCGCTCCCACATAAGGACGGGGAGGCCTAGCCTCAAGCCAAAAAATTAACAGGCAATGTTTCAGGAAATTTCGATGAGCCAATGTGGCCAAAATATGAACAAACACTTTAAGATCCATGATGTCACCGTAAAAGATCTCGGCAGAATATCTAACTGAAAGTGACAATGAATTTGTCACCCATTAATAATGCATAGAGATGGTTATTGACACCAGAGTTATCAGAAAGTAATTTAGCAGTCTGAGCTAACAAAAATTATAGACCATCTACCGAAAAGAACCATGATGGTATGCAAAGCAGCAGCAGTGCGCACGCTGCTGACCCGGCTGAAACGGGCGTCAACGCGAGTGCTGGAAGAACGGTTTGAAGCAAAACTCGATGTAGTCTTTACTCGAGTAAACGTTTCTTTGAAGCGCAAAAAAAACGGGAGGCGGGTTGGGTTTCGTGTAAGTTTCGTTGCAAATAAACAAGCCGAAAGAGTGTTTCCACTCGAAGTGGGGTCGAGCATTGCGAACAGTGGAGAGGGTGAAGCAACAGAGAAGTGTGTTGCGAGCGAGCAGAGGTGCAACACCACCTAGGGGCATCGGGAGGAGCCGGCGCCTGCTGCAGGTAAAGAAGAGGGTGACATCAATGCACAGGTGCGACTTGACCTACTTGGCATTGTTCCAACAACTGCGGCGGGAGGAACGCGGTGCGGCAGGTTGGCACGGAGACACGGACGGACAGCGTTACAGAGGATAGTCAAGAGCTGTTCTGCATCTAATATTGTTCCACTTTAGCATCCCTTTATCGTTTCACAGTATCTTAAACCTTTCAATAAGAGACATCAGGAAATGTTAGCAAAGCTCACAGTGAGCTGTATGATTGCCATTTACAATATTGCTGCCACCGAAATATTAACACCATGCTGCATAACAACACAAGGGCTCCTTGTGTGTTCTCTCTCTGCAACTCAGCTTTATGAGAAAAGCTTGGTTGACATGGTGAGACACTGATGCCAAACCTGGAGATTGAGTCAACGAAGTGGTCTCCATGCCACATGAGAATGACTGTAAAGCAACAGTAACAACAAGATGACCCCCCCCCCCTTCAACAAACACACACACACACACCAGTAAGAAATACACAAAGATAGCACAATGAAAGTAAAGAGAGGGTGAAACCTAAACATGTTGCAGCATATGTCTCACTCAAGGTAACATTAATTCTTTAGAATATAATGCACAATATTTTAAGGCAATGCTTGCAATGGTTTGGAGAGAGAGCTTAATTAACAATAAAAGCAACTAAGCAGGTGCTCCTATAGTTGACTTCAAACTGTTTGTTTCAGAATGCAGCATAAAAAAAAAAAACTTAGATATCAGCATACATCTGTGGCCTCTCCCCGTACAAACAAATGAAAGTAAAAAGAACCCGTGTTAATGCTATGTGTATTACCTCAAGTTAATTCAAGTTTTACACAGCAGCAAATGTTATTCAATGACTTTGTAGGGGACAGTCTGCTTCGCATCCGCAAAAGATGAAGAAACAGAGAAGCTCGGACATCATGGCTGTGACATAAGCTCAGTCATCCGATAAATAAATGTCTGTTGGTGCTGAGCCTTCTGCTCACACAAGTTTGTGATGTCAAGAACTTCTCGTAAATTAATAAATCACTCTAATGCAGGGGTCTTGACTCTTTCATTACCACGCCTATTCAAATCTATCACCAGTGATCAACCCTTTGGATCCTCGAATTCGGCATGTTGAATTTGTTTCTCGTGCAACCACCACTTTGTAGTAGTTAGTTCAGCCATGCAACTTTCAAAATCAATTTTAATTTGCCTACTTTTGTCAAATTGGCAACATGGTGATTTTTTACAGACTTCTGTGCAAACTAATGTGCGCGTGTTGTTGGGAAACTGCCACTTGGCTGGAGAGCTTGACAATAGTGCGTGCCCCCCAAAACCACCGTATGATTATGAGAGAGTATGATTATGAGGCTGCATTTTGACCTCCATCGAAAATGCAGCCGTCGCAGCCGGGAGTCGATCCCCTGACCTGCAGGTCAGCAGCCGAGTACCTTAGCCACTACACCATTGCGGCGGGCCAAGTGCACAACCTGCATGGTTATGCTACAGTAACACCAAAGTTTTGTAATGCAAAGACCTTATCAAAGCTTTGAAAGCTTTGGTTTCCTTTGTATCGTTCTATCGGACACAGGGCCACATCTAGTGTTACTAGCCGCTCCTGTGGCGTCGTCAAGGTTGCATGGGTGTGCTGCTGCACTGTGAAAAAACATGCTCCTCTCAAAACCATCTTGCAACCGCACCTCTATTGAGTGAAGACGAATCAGAGCTCGACGATCACAGCACTTCAGCTTCAAGTTTTACAGCGACGATGTTTTGCATCAGCATGAGACATCTGCAGCTGTTCATGGGCTTGGTTAAATTTCTGCCGCAAGTTGTATCCTCCTCACAAGTGCGCAGCTGCTAACGTTTGTGAACAATCTTATAGCTATTCTGGTTACGTGTGAGGTCCACACGTGGCTGGGGCGCGGTGTGCTGGCGCTGGCTGCAGAGCTTCTTCTCACAACAAGAAGGCCACCGAGGACAGCTTTGCCCTGACTGCGGAGCAGCGCAAGACATTTTAGGGCTGCGCACGATATTGCTCTTTTTATTTAATGCGATGTGCGAAAATTCAATGACATACGCTTGGATGTATATCTTGAAATGCCAACCTATGCGGAGTGAGGTGGCTCATAGAAAGAGGTGATGCTGGACGAAATAGCAAAGTTGTTTGGACATCTGATTTATTGAGAGATTATTCACTCGTGTCCCTTGAAAAACCAAGCAGTGCTTCACCACTTGGCACGAGCAATGAAACAGTACCTTGGTTCCGATTTTTTTTGTCTATGTGAATGGAAAAATTTTTTACAACATTTATCATTTTTTATACTGTTTCTGGGTCATTTATCTTCAAAATGTACATTCTAAATTTTCTTTGCTTTGGATGTTTTTGCATACATATAATGTTTTTTATTACACTGTTTAGCAGCTGGCAACCAAAAATTAGACACTTTTCACATATTTATTCATTCCAAATTATTTGTCATCTACAAATTGTAATTTTTGGAAAAAGCAGCCTTTCATTGTGCAAAATTTTATATGCTGCAATGCCTGCTGGAGTACTTTTCCAAGTGGCAAAAGCTACGTTACTGAGACAGAGGAAAACTAACCATTTTCGAATGGTAACGAAATAGGACACATGGTTTGCAGATTATTAGCTAGTTACCTGGTCCGTACAAGACCGTTTTTATTCCATTTTTTTTAAATTTTTCTAATAAGTGTGTTTGTGAGCTACAGAGACATGACTGCCTCAAGTATGTTTTTGCAAGAAACCCAGTGCAGTCACTATAGGTTGAAATGAAAACTCAAAACATTTTAGAATTGGTGCACAGATTTTAACCTTTCTGCAGATCCGTTTCTATATTTCATTCAAATACTGATGCCCAATTCTCTTTGGATATGATTCAAATATGAGGAGTGGAAAATGCCACCTTTGAAATGGCAATATCAGCTGACATTTCATTGAAACTCCTTCACCCCAACCTCTGCTCCTACCTTCTTCACTGTTCGAGCCCTTGTGGGACTAAATTTCATGACTGTGGCTCGCAAGATGAGGTGAGCTTGAGACCATTGTAATACATTCAATTCCCAGATATATCAGACTTGTGTATATATCAAATCATTGGCTACATCAAACAGCTTAGGAATACCCTAGAATTCCCTATGCAAAAGTATGGGACTTGTGCACCTATATATCAAACTCCCACACAGCGGGACATTCGCTACTATATAGAATGCTGTGCTGCGTCGAAGCCCAAAAAAATGCATTTTTCCTAGCAAATATTGATCAATTTTCGGCCAAGTTCTAACAAGTACTGATCCCTTTAAACGTGCAGATGACAAAAAGATGGTGTTATTCTATTGCGCTTATCTGTTTCGTTGTGCGGTGCTTGCGAGTGCACTGGTATATATGATGTGCCATCTGCAGGTCTTAATGCGCGGCCGTAGTGTTCTTTTAAAAAGACCGATTGCTGAGGACACCAAAATAAGAATGCAAAAAGACTCAGCAATCTTGGAATGTTCGCATTTTCTTCCTTGTTTGTTAGTGCACAATGGCATGTGATGGGCATGCGAGCCTGAAAAGCATGGCCTTTGAGATGTGCAACCGTGTTACATATTTTTAGTGTTTTCGGTTTTAAAACGCATGTCTTGGAGGTTACGCTTTTTATAGCTTTTCGCATCAAACCAGCTGAAAGCAGCAGCTGCCAGCCACAAAACCACAAAGGACATCTATATTGCCAACGCGTCGTCAGTGGGAACTCGGCAATGTGTCTTGCGCTTTTTGCAGACTTGTGTACTTTTCACCTCCTTCCTAATATAAATCTGGAATCGGGAGTTGCACATAATGTTGACCCGCATGTAGCGATAAAATCATGACAGGCACTTGGAGCGACGTCCAGTAAAGCACCGTGATAAACTTTCCTTGTGGGCAAGGTGGTGACTTCAGGTGATTCATGACAACTGAGAACGGCGTGCAGTGCCTCAGTAAATCAGCGTTTCCGGGCCCTATCTTGGACAATGAGCGGCTTCATTGGTGCAGATGATATCGTAGCTGTTTCTGACTGCATTGATGCTGTGATCATGGTTGCCGTTGCCACGGAAGTGTACTCGTGCGGTTACGAATATACCACCGCGTAACTTATATATATATAAGTTACCACTTGCAGTTGGCGGTGGTAACGAATATACCACCGCGAATTTCAAGTAGGAACTTGCAGTTCACACATTGTTCTTCAATATACTGTGAGCGAATCGTTATGTTAGCACTTGTAATCATTTCTGAGGCCTTAATGCACATACTTTGCATTTCGAATTATTGATATATCAAACTATATCGTGGTCCCCTTCAAGTTCAATATATCCCGGATCGACTGTAATAGATACTTGTGATATCCTCTAATTCTTTGCTACTCTAGACTTCCCAGTAAAAGGAAACAATTTTCAATGTCATGTTAGACTTGATTTAACAGAAATAGGCTACGTATGGGACTGCGAACAAACACTCCTTCAATATCAAAAAAGGAACAGAAAACTTACGCAATGTTTCTATTCTGATGTGCAGTTCAGCAACAAAGAAGATGCCTGCAACACCCTTGAACTTGAGGTTTCTGAGTGGGGCAAAAAAGAAAAAGAAACATTAGTGCTATGGTACAATGGAACTCAGTCCCATACAATCTGCCTTTCACATAACTATAGACTGCATGCGCTGGAACCTCATCACGAGTGCCAAAAGTTACTGTGCAGTGTTGATGGCTTATGGAATAAATGATACATCAGCATTGTTAGGTCTGGCGGTGCAGGCCATGGAAGCGAGTCTTCTCGGTCTCAAAAGGGCACGCTTCCCACAAAGCCGATTCTCGCGAGACGATAATCTCGGCGTAAGCGCGCCCCTTCTGGCAAGAATACCGCGGTCAGTCGTGGCTTCTAGAAACCCGCTAAATGGTCCCCGGACTGCGGAATGCCGGCGGGTGACGTGAGGACAGTGCATAGCCACCCATCCGTCAGGTTTAGAGTCCGAGGGACGGCTGTCGTGCTGGACAGCGTAGTCATCCCGCGGTAATGGAGGGGGCCCACAGCCGAACGGCGCCACCATTGTGTGCGTTCGCACGGTTCACGGAACGTTGTGTGCAGGCTGGTCCGTTCGTCTCTCTCTTTCCGACCGAGCAGTCAAGTGCGGGAATAAGAGAGTGAGAGGAGGGGACGGCAACAAGTGTGTTGTCCGTCCAATAAACGGACTAAATTGCTTTGGTTGGCCGTGAGGAGAATCGGGAGGGGTAACCGAGGTATTAAATGCTGGCTTCCGAGTCCTCGCGACTGTTCTGGTCGCAACAAGAAGTGCTCTGCACTATGGTCTCTGCCGAGGCAACATGCGACGGTTCCAACGGTCAAGCCTTGTAAATATGTACATAAGTTTGTGTATATAAAATCGAGTTGTTGTCACGTTTGAGATGTGCTGGCTTCCATCTCTGAACAAGCAGCAGCAGCCACGAGAACACAAGACGGACACCGAGAAGCAACCAACCTTCCACTCCCTTCTGTAGCAACAGCCGCTACGTGGCTGAGAGCTCTGCTCAAGGGAACAGAGGGAGTGGGTAGAAGGCCGAGTTTTACTAGCACGAATGTCAAACACTGCGAGTAGCCTGCAGCAATGTTGATGTCAGAGTTCTTGAATCATACTAGTTGTGAAAGTATGTTCTGAAAGCAAACCGTGCCTGTGGCCAACCTGGGAGTCAACCTGGGAGCAGCACTAGAAAACACTACATCACTGTAGTGCCACCCCTGCATCAAGCTTTTTGCAAGCTACTCAACGCCACCTGTAGCACTGCCATTGCTGCCTCCATTTCTCCGTTCATTTTTTTAAACAACAGGTGACATGGCCATCCCCAAACTTCTGCAATTTTGGCCAATGGTAACTTCAGATTCTGATACATAGGACCTATGGGGAGTTTCGCAACTCGTATGATTGTTGAACTCTACATTGATGTTGACACAATTTTACATTGCCAAGGCAATGCCAACTAGTGTATGATACCTGCACCAGTGTATCTGGAGAATCCTTATCTGCTCATTACACTTACTCGAAGTGCAATCACACTGAGCCAACACAACATCATTGCCAAGTTGTCAACATTTGGCTCAACAGTTGGCCAACCAGTCAGTACACTTTACCACTGAGTAAAATATTCTTAGTATATTCTATACTGGAGGAAAGATGCAACTCAAGGTCAGAAAATGCTTCTTGCATCACTTCTATAGCAACCGACGTGGTCAGGGGCAACGCTGGCATCCGCTGCATGTCGCGTTTCTTGCCCATGAAAGACGCGGTACGTGTTTTCAATATCAATTTCTGCATGTTGTAGCTGCATTTGCTATCTAGGAAATTCAGTTTTCCTGGGAAGTGCCTTCTGCTACGGGAACATGTTTTTGTCTTGAAGTTACGTCATTCCGCCAATAGATCCAGTGCCATCAGTGATCTGATCGGTGCTTGGCGTTGTTACTTTATCTGGTCGATTACGTCTTGCGAGTGCCCTCACCTAAAGGGCATATATATGACAACCATGGACATGGTCTAAAACAGTGGTTCTCAGCCATGGATGTGTCAGGGACGCCTTATGAACTGGTGGAAGTGATGGGTGACACCTTGCATCGGAGGGGAGGGAGGGGGCTACGTAGCTAAATTAACACAACTGGAGCTTGACACAGGTGCCTTTTATTGCTACCAAGAACATCAAACAAACGTGTCACATCACTTCATTTTGGGCAGTTCATCAATACGTGGCAGAGTCACACTTGAAGAAAAATGCTGCTGAGGGTTTCGTGGATCATGGAAATGGCTTCGCGGACCCTAGGGGTCCGCGGACCTCCATTTTAGAACCACACATTTAAAATATTGTAAACATGCTCCTCTTTCAGCCTTCGCATAAAATTATTGGGATATTAGGATCGCAGTCAAGTGGACAACAACATGGAGTGATTGCAGAGCCACAGGCTTCTCTGGTGGGGATAATCAACAAGACCAGCCTGCCAAAGGATGCAATAGGTTGCAGAGTGAAGAGATCACATTGACAACATGATCGATCCAGTAGTATTTAGCCACGTTCACAGGTAGTCAAAAAGCTAGTCTGAAGCTGAAATGCACAATTTTCAGCTCGTGCCAGCAGTACACACTGAATTTGGGCTGACTTTGTTCAGAAATCAAAAGCAGATGTTCTATGTCTCTCCAACAAGTTCACACACAACTGGTGAATCTGACCTAATGGATAGGTAAGAACAAAGCTGACAATTCAGGTATGCTTGTGACAGCATGATAGATTACCCCGATAGACCAACTTGACAGACAACACAAGAAACAGAAATTAGCAGCCCAACCCTAAGGGCACGCAAGAGTGTTTGGGGAAATGGACCTTGGTCTTGAAGTCTACTACCACACGGGAGTGTCGCTTTTTATTAGCCATTGATGCATCTCTAAACCTGGCAACTAGCCTTTCGACAAACTAAATTGATCAGCCCTTCCACAAACAAAATGTAACTGCATAAGTGGGCAGGCTTATGTGAGTTTCTTTGATGACAAACTTCCTAGTTACCACATTGAATCTCACATCCAACAAAAAATTCAAGGCCCCTTCAGCACAAACAGCCTTGCCCAATTATCACGCAAATCTGACATCAGCACTTTCAAAAAAAAGCTAAGGGTCCTAAATGTGTGTTTAGCATGCAGTGTTTACTTTAAGCATAGATTATCAAGCACACAATTTTTATTTATGATAAAAAAACATGAAAAGTCATATTTAGCTATCAAAACAGCCAGTAACTGCCCTTCCCATGCCAATATAAAAGTGGCTGTGTCGTTCCTCTTTGTTTTGCGTTCCTCGTTTTGCCTGGTCTTTGCCTTTCCTGAAGGGAACTCTGTGAATGCCTATGGTGGTAGTAGTAAAAACTTTATTTAACTAAGGAATTCGGGCACGTACGGCCCAGGGTCTTTGCACGACCCTTACTTCGCTATCCGTTTATGAGTTCATGTAGTTGCATGACGTGGGCGGCCCGGTCAGTGGCGGTCTTCTGCTTGGCCGGGTCCATCGAGCGCAGCAACAGACACGGCCTATGGTTATTGTGGTCAAGATCTAGCTATGTAAAATCTTTTATCATTAATGTCCATCATAACATTCAGTTCAGATCCAACAATGACAGAAAACTACCTCAGTGGGTATGGTTAATGTTGAAGTGAATCAAATCCACAAAGGCTAAAACTTTACATAGGTGGCTGATGAGCACACTGGTTAGAACATTTCAACTTTCTAAACTATCCTTAGATCTGTGATGAATATGACTAAGTATAAGGGTAAACACAGATGCTATGCCAACTTATTTCTGTTCGACATACTTACTCAGCAAGCACTTGCACTATGACTGCTTTTTCTTATTTTTTTTTTCTGGCATAGCTGGACAAAAAGCACCATGTCACAATGTATGTAATGCCTCACAGTCGTTGGTTATACCAGAGTAATTGCTGGCATCACCATCCAGATGAAGCATACACGAAAAATGAAAAGACATGGTATTCTCAACTTTCATGCTTTGATGGTGTACAATTTTACAAACACAAAAGCATCAGAAGTCCATGAAGACTTCGCTGAAGTACTGCCGTCATGCATGTGCATCAGCAAAATACAGATGACAAAGAAAAATCAGAAGAAACAATTTCCCTGGCATGGATGATAAGAAAACGATCCCCTGAGCACTCACTCCACAACAATAAGAGCTGAGTGCTCTGACTATATTGCCGCTGATGATTTTTTATGTGTTTATTGATTGTTACTATTTATTAGTACTTCTGTGTGTTTTAGTGTTTTTGGAGTTATATGCATTAGCACTGGTGGTGCAAGAAAGAATTGCGTCACTGATGCTCATGTGTTGGGCTCCACAACATGCTTCATATTTCGCTTACACCTTTTCCCTTTCAAGTGATGCTGGTACGCAGGGGGCAGTGTCACTGTCTGAGATTAGTGAAGTGAAGTACTGCCTCATGACCGTGGCCTCCGAGATTAGTGCCTATTACACTCTGTCACTTCCTCGTTTGCACTGTGAAAAATCCCGGCCAGGCTAGAGAAGAGACACGGCATGTGTCACTTTTACCTTCGTATTTCCAGTCAGGGGCATAGGCAAAAACTTTCTGTCACCTTCTCTGTCAGCGAAACCAGGCAAATCGTCATTTTGGACCATGCATGCCATGGCAAAAAAAAAAGGTTCAGAGGGGGGGGGGGGGGCGACAGGCCTGATTTGCCACCCTCTGGCTACGCCACTGTTTCTAGCCCAATAGTGGTGTGACCCTTTGATGAACTCTTTTGTATGTAGCATTCCATGGCATGGCAACCTTAGCTGCAGATATATACATCTAATCAGTAATGCTCTTCTGGTTGTCACACCGCTTGCTCTGATAATGTTCTTCTCGTACGAATGGAATTGCGCGAGCAACAGTGCATTGCGAGAGCCAATCTCGAAGGCCATGTCACGACACTAATGAGTGCTGAGAGTGAGCACTTTAGTAGATTCAGCTTTCCCCGTGGCGAGAAGCAAACTGCCTTTCCGCGTTCACATCTCAAGCTACGAACTCTTTTTCTCCCTTTTTCTGAGCCACTGTGGGGTACTATATGCATGAGCACAGGCAAAAGTTACCCTATTACTGGGAGCGTACAACATGGTGTTTCTGCCTTCAAAATACAATGCTTTGAATTAGTGCACATCGAGGACAAGAGTTATTATGTGCTTCCTAATGCCATCTTTGCACGGGATTCAGCTTATGCTGTGTCCAGGTGTATGTTGATTATTTTGGCTACAACAATGATTAAATTATGATCTTTGGGCTTAGTCTTCGGGATAGAGTTGTGCCATTCAGCATCAATGTAAGTGCGTCCACGTCAAATATTGCTACAAATAGTGTGCAAGCTCCCATACATAGACGTATTCCAAACAATCAAGTATACTCCTGTGAAGACATTATTCATTTCGTGGTATACCGATTCCTATAATGATGGAACTAACCATATCTTTTTCTAGTAGCCCCTAATAAGCTTGTGCACTACCACAAAGCAGTAAGCTGATTATGACACAGTTTTAATAAAACGTTGCATTCAAAATAACTTTTGATGCCAGAAAAAAAGATGCAGTCATTGCAAGACTTAAAACTGATTCTAATGTATCTAATCCATAGGTTTATAAATGTTTTACATCTTGTCTTGTTTAATGTTTTACCTGATGTTTCGCTAGAAACACCTAGTGCAGTTCAAAAGCAAATAATACAAATTGTACATGTGCATGAGAATGGGTCTTAATGTGAAAACTGCAGCAATACAACCCATTTAAAATAAAAAGAGGGGGCAATATATACTTACAGCAAAAGAAGCCATTGGTCCTCGTCGAGTCATATATCTATGCATGGCTTCTCTTATCTCTTCTGGTTTGATGCATTCAAATGGAAGCAAAGTTTTTTTGGCACCATCGCCACTCTGAAGAGACATACATGACAACAAGTAAGTCTATATTGTACAAATATTAAAAAAAAAACATTCAACAAGAAGTTTTATGTACATTTTTTTGAAAAATAGTACTTGGTGATATTGTGAGTTTTCTGTTACATAAGGCACCAAGCTGTGATCATGACATGATGAGAAAATTGCTCAGGTGACATGCTCTCACTATGTCTCACTTAGTCTCCACACCCACTCTCACTTCTCCAGCTCATTCTCATTTGTAATCCTTTGACATTTGTTGGCACACACTCCAGCAGTAAAACGAAATATTGCTCTATTCCTGTCAGCCTAGAATGATATTCGAAAAAGTTTATTGACACGCAATCAAAATAGCTCACTGGTACATGACATGTCACACTTGTGGCCACAAAGTAAGAAACATTCTGGATGCGGATTGGCACTTTCTCGGGCACTGCAGTAAAGTTGCAGTACTGACGATACGACGATAGTTATAGCGCGAGAGCAAAACAACGCCACATAGACAAGAAGGACACGAAATACTTCGTGTCCTTCTTGTCTCTGTGTCGTTGTTTTATTGTGGCGCTATAACTATCGTCATGCCATACCAACTAGCCCAAGCTGCCACACTTCTAAGTTGCAGTACTGGGTATGGTGAGAACGCCCTACTTGTGGTAGACATGGCTAGAAGACAACGAAAACTATGCTTCGTGTGTTCTCTACAAGGACTTTCCCCTTTAAAGCCATTCAGTGGTTATTCCTCGGGAGACATCACCCACTCCAGTATCACTGTTAACTGCATGATGATGATATGTGGGGTTTAATGTCCCAAAACCACCATAAGATTATGAGAGGTGCCGTAGTGTAGGGCTCCGAAAACTTCGACCCGCTGGGGTTCTTTAACATGCACCCAAATATGAGCACACGGGCCTAGAGCATTTTCGCCTTCATCAAAAATGCAGTCGTCACAGCTGGGATTCGATGCCGCGACATGCGGGTCAGCAGCCAAGTACCTTAGCCACTAGACCCCCATGGCGGGGCGATTTCACCTGCAGAACAGCATGTTTTTTCAAAATTATTCAGTAATAAATGCCGCTAAATGTATATCAATTCTGTTTCTAAGCAGAACAGCATGACTTCTTGGAACGTCCCAACGTAGGTGCGGTCCGCAGCCAACCCGCCCTTCTGAGGGGCACCGGCTCCTCGGGACAATTTGTGAATAAAGCTCGTTGACTGACTGACTGACTTCTTGGAAGACATAATACACAAGATGCTATCACAATTTTTTTTTTATTGTGCACACAAGCATTGCCAATATGCAAGACATGCCATCTGTCGTGCAGTGACGAAACCTGTATATTATCCTTGCCTGACCAACTTTCCTACGTCACCCAGGCCTCTACGATTCCTCTCCTGTGGATATTACATAACAATTGACAGTTACTTTCTCTGTTACAGGTCTCTCCTTAAATCAATGATGTTACATTGGGCTAACCGTGCTAGACAACCGGAAATTGAAGGAAGCAAAAGATTTCTGGTTATTGGCCTTGATGGTCATGCTGAAAACAGTGCAGTACTAATGTTGCTCCTATTTTGGTAAGTTATCAGTGGGACATGAAAAGATAAATATCTTTGAAGGGAAAATTGATTTGTTTAATACGAATAAGTATACAAAAAAATTGATGCTGATGGCAAAATGATAGAGAGACTGCATGCTCCAAGTGCCAGCACCCTAATGAAGCTATTTCTTCTTCGGTATTTGTAATAGAATAAAAGTATGTTTATTTTACTGGAAACTTTGCACAAAGTGACTGCAAAGCTATTGTTAAACTTATTAAATATGTGCCCAGCAATAGATAAACAAGTTTTGAATAAAAAGAATGATAAAAGGTTCACTGTCAATGAGCTCATCTACCAAAAAGCACCTCCAAGAACATCAGTATTTGCTTTAATGTGTGTTGCAAACTTGTGTGTTCACTACAGCAGTGGCGTAGCCAGGGGGTGGCACACCAAGTCCATGAAACTAGCTTAACCCGACTAATTCATAGACCACAACAGCGTAGAATGAAATGTGTTCCACGTGATTTCCTCACCTTAGATGTCGCACCCTCGTTACTCTGCAACCACGGCTTGTCCTTGAAGCTAAAGAACTGGGTAGAAGGAAAGCCCGGGTTTCCTGCCAAAGGGGGCATTGACCAGGACAGTGGATCGCTCGGGTCGTGCTTAGATTCCTTCTTTATCAGCAGTGCCAAATCTACAATCTGTGTAACAAAACAGTAAATAAAATCAGGATGAGTTCACAAACCAAGACAGTGAGTAAGATCGGAATAAGGAGTTGGCAAAATTCACTGGCAGTGCAGGTACTAAAGATTTTCTAAGGTAAGATTAGAAGAACCTTGCTTTTCCAGGCGATTTAGTGCATTATGAAAAAAATTTGGGAGCTGTTGCCCAACCAGGAAAATGGGAGCAAACAACATAGCATGGCATGTGTTTGTCTGATGTACTACTAAAAAGCATTTCATTGCTTTTTTTTTTGTACCATTCATATGGCACAATACTTCTTTCTGTCCTCCGTGCCAAGAATCAGACTATCATCCCACGCTTACCAGCGCAGCACTACAGTTGCTGCAGGCAACAACGACGGTCATGTGTTCATGTCCAGGCAACAACGAAACCGTGGTAATGTGCAAATGACAAGTGACTTCGATAAAAATATCTGATTGGCATATCATAAATGGCTGATTGCTAACAAACGTGCAATTGAGAGAGCCTCAACCACTGAAAAACAGCATGCATGTGACCAGTGCACCTTCAAATGCCACACTGAGGTACGTTTGTTGGCACCCAATTTTTGGCGTACAACGCCAGCACCAAAATCTATGAGTTACAAAAATATTTGCTTAATTAAATTTTTTATCATGTGAACCCAAACCAGTTAAGCTAGAAGAATGTGGGTGAATAAAGAGCTTTAATTAACAGGCCATTCAAGCAAGCAACATGAGTTGACTTTCGGTCAACCCATTTTAGAGTAGCAAATGAAAAGAAGTGCTTCAAATACTTTGCGTGTTTTGGTAAAAAAACAGTTTCATATTTATAGAAAATTTTGTAAAAACTATTAATAAAATACTAATATATAATAATATGTATTAAAAATATAAATTTTAACAAAAATATTTATAAATATCTTTACAGATATTGCAAGAGAAGGCAGAATTGGTTAGAATAGTGTATGCATATGGCGATATCAAACCCAGTCTACAATTAGAGATAATTTGAAATTCCTAATTCCTCTGTGACGCTACAAAACAGCCACTCTAGTGCGGCAGCCCTGAAGAGGAGGAGCAGTATGATGTGGTTGAGATTGCTAGACAGCGGCAATCTTGGCTATCTGTGCAAGTACAGTCAAAACCTGCAATAATAAAACCCAGCGAGTACGAAATCCCCGCGGCAACGAAATATTTCCGGATCCCAGCGAACGTTCATAGGAGCACATGTATAACGTATCTCGTGGCAATGAAATGTTTTTGGACAGCGATCCCGCATTAACGAATTTTCTACGACGGTGCGGGCCTTATTCTACCCTCCCGCCAAAGGTTAACTGTCGAAAATATTGCCGCGAGGCATATTGCGGATAGTGTTGCGCGTGCCGGCGGTATCGGCATGCGCAACACTATCCGCATATATTATGCGCAACACTATCCGCAATATGCGGATAGTGTTGCCGCTGAAGACCCAGTGATGCCGCTGAAGACCCAGAAGAATGGCTCGACCAATTCGAGCGCGTGGCTACCATAAACAGGTGGGATGAAGAAATGAAGCTGCAATACGTTTACTTTTCCCTGGACGGCCCCGCCGAAACGTGGTATGAAAACCACGAGACCACACTGACCACCTGGGAATTTCTAAAGAATGAGTTGCTCAGGACCTTCACCAGCATCATGCGAAAAGAAAGGGCCCAGCTGCTGCTAGAATCGAGGACCCAACAGCCCAATGAGACCCTAAATGTGTACGTTGAAGAAATGAAACGTCTTTTTAGGCGAGCGGACCAAGACATGACCGAAGACAAAAAGGTCGGATACCTAATGCGAGAAGTGAAGGAGTCGCTTTTCTCCGGTCTCATAAGGAACCCTCCTAAAACAGTCGCCGAATTTACTGAAGAAGCGCACACCATAGAAAGGACCCTGGACGCCCAGACTCGGCAATACAACCGCCCGTTTCAGCTCAGCTCGCTCTACTCGGAACCGATTCGAGGTGGGCTAACCACCAACGATCTGCGGGAAGCTATTCGAGAAGTGGTTAAAGAAGAACTATGCCGATTGCTACCTCCCACCCCCCAGCCCCCCCAAGGAGCATCTCTCTTGGACATAGTGCGTGATGAAGTCCAGCAGGCGTTTGGCTCTTCATCAGCGACGACTCGAACAGAGGCCAAAGCAATGACTTACGCCGCTGCAGTGAACACTAGGCCACCCAGAGGAAACGAGCCCAGTCCTCGACGGTACGCTGCAGCCCCAAGTAGCCGTCCGCCCTTCCCCGCCCAACCTACATACAAGAGACGCCAGAGCCAAAGAAAATGAGACACCTGGAGAACTCCCGACAACCGTCCCCTGTGCTTTCACTGCGGTGAGGCCGGCCACATTCTTCGACACTGCCCCTACAGGCGGATGAGACTGCATGGCTTCTCATCTCGAGCACCACGGCCACGCCCTGGACAACGACCTCTGGCAATCGAAGACCACTTGCGCCATACAGAGTACTTGTCCAGCCGTTCTCCATCCCCGCCATCCCCACGCTTCACGTCACCGAACCGCAGCAACAAAGAATGAAGAAGGTCCCCAAGCCCCCGTAGGGGAAACTAAAACCAGCAACCTTTGGAGGTGAGGTTGCTTCAAGAAGAAAAGCCGAAGACCCTCCACCGACGACCATATATGACGACAGCACATCATCTACGACGACCACAACGCACAACAACCCAAGCCGCGAGACGAAGCGAAACTAAGCAACAAGACGAAGCCGTGACCCGAACCCAAAACCAACGCGCAACTCCAGCCCACGTGCCACCGATTTTGAAGTATCTATCGACGGCTACCTGGTAGCTGCCTTGATTGGCACAGGAGCTGACTACTCGGTCATCAGCGGGCCATTGACAGCACAACTGAAGAAGGTTAAGACGGCTTGGGACGGCCCGCAGATCCGCACAGCGGGAGGCCACCTCCTCACCCCATCGGGGCGATGTACTGCAAGGGTGACATTCGATGGTCACACATACCTTGCCACTTTCTTGGTGCTCCCACAGTGCTCCCGTGACGTCATTCTCGGCATGGACTTCTTGACTCAACATCACGCGGTTATTGACCTGGGGTCCAGATCCATCAAACTTTCCTCGGATGAAGCCATAAATTCATGCTCGGCACCACATAATCGCGCAGCCCTCCGTGTGCTCGAGAATGACGTGAGCGTCCCACCCCGATCAACGACCCTAATCCCCGTAACCACTGGTACTGCTGAAAATGCCCATGGTGTCGTCGAAGGTAACATACAGCTTTTGCTTGGCCGTGATATCGCAATCCCAAGAGGCATCGCGGACTTCCGGAATGGACAGGGTCCAGTGCTGCTAACAAATTTCAGCCAAGAACACCGTCACCTAGCCAAAGGCACGACCATTGCCTTTCTCGATGAAATCGCGGAAGTCACTGACACCCTCGCCCTTTCGAATCCAGCGACCATCACCCCACAGACCCACAACTTGCAGCTGTCATTCGACACTAACCCTTCCTTGCCTCAATGCAAGCAGCAACTGCTCCAGAACCTCCTTCAACGTTATGACAACTGTTTCGCCACTTTTTCACAGGTCCGACACACTTCTCTGGCAAAGCATCAAATCATAACACAAGAAGACATCCGCCCTCTCCATCAAAGCCCTTATCGTGTGTCGGCACGTGAACGTCAGGCCATCCGAGAGCAAGTTGAGGAAATGTTACACGACGATGTAATTCAGCCATCGAAAAGCCCATGGGCAGCACCAGTCGTCCTTGTCAAAAAGAAAGACGGAAGTCTTCGGTTTTGCGTCGATTACCGACGGTTGAATAGTGTAACCAAGAAGAACGTGTACCCGTTACCAAGGATCGACGATACCCTAGATCGTCTTAGTGATGCAAGGTACTTCTCGTCCATTGATCTGAAGACAGGGTATTGGCAAATTCAGGTTGATGAAAGAGATCGAGAAAAGACCGCCTTCATTACGCCGGATGGATTGTATGAGTTCAAAGTGATGCCATTTGGACTTTGTTCCGCTCCAGCAACCTTCCAGTGTCTAATGGACACAGTACTGGCAGGTCTCAAGTGGCAAATATGTCTCGTATACCTGGACGATGTGGTCGTCTTCGCCTCCAACTTTAGCGACCACCTGAAAAGGCTCCGGACGGTACTGAACGCAATTAAGTCATCAGGGCTGACAATGAAGCAAGAAAAATGCCATTTTGCCTATGAAGAACTACAGTTCCTTGGCCATGTTATAAGCAAAGATGGCGTAAGACCAGATCCCGAGAAGACAGCCGCTATTGCACAGTTTCCTCAGCCGCAAGATAACAGAGCAGTGCGTCGATTCTTTAGGACTGTGCACCTATTACCGGCGGTTCGTCAAGAACTTCTCACACATTGCTGACCCTTTGACGCAGCTCACCAAGTCGGTCGCCCCTTTCAAATGGAAAGCTGCGCAACGTGAGGCATTCAAAGAACTTCAACAACCTTTACAGTCGCCGCCTGTGCTGGGTCACATTGATGAAAATGCCAAACTGAGATACATACAGACGCCAGCAGCATCGGCTTAGGTGCCGTTCTCGTTCAGAAGCACAAAGGATGAGTGCGTCATCGCGTATGCAAGCCGCTCACTGTCGAAAGCGGAAGTGAACTATTCCACGTCTGAGAAGGAGTGTCTTGCGATAGTATGGGCCACCTCGAAATTCCGCCCATACTTGTATGGCAGACCCTTCAAGGTCGTAACGGACCATCATGCGTTGTGCTGGTTGGCCAGTTTGAAAGACCCTTCTGGCCGCCTCGCTCGATGGAGCCTAGGGCTTCAGGAGTTTGACGTGAAGGTAGTCTACACGTCTGGTCGTAAGCACTCCGACGCAGACTGCCTCTCAAGAGCCCCTGTCGGCGCACCACCAAGCCATGAAGACGACGATGCCTTTCTTGGGCCTATCAGCAGCAGCACCTTTGCATTACAGCAGCGCTCAGACCCGATCCTACAACAGTTGATCAACTACATCGAAGGAAAGGCCTCCATACCGCCTGCACTGTTCAAGCGTGGGATATCCTTCTTCTGTGTGCAAAACGGGGTGGTAGTTAAAAAGAACTTCGCACCGAATAAGGCAGCTTACCTTCTTGTCGTCCCAAGCAGCCTCAGAGAAGAAATTTTACAAGCGTTACATGACGAACCCACTGCAGGCCACCTCGGTTTTACACGCACACTCCACAGAATTCAAGAACGATACTACTGGCCCCGCCTCTCCTCAGATGTTGCGCGGTACATCAAGAGTTGCCGTGAATGTCAGCGCCGGAAGAGACCTCCAACAAAACCAGCTGGATTTGTCAAGCTAATTGAACCCCCGTCGAGATCTTTCCAACAGATTGGTATGGACCTGCTTGGACCTTTCCCCACGTCAACATCCGGTAACAAGTGGATCATAGTGGGCACTAATTACCTTACCCGATACGCTGAAGCTAAGGCCCTTCCGAACGGCACAACCGTAGAAGTTGCCAAATTTTTTGTCGAATCAATTCTCCTCCGTCATGGCGCACCTGAGGTACTAATAACAGACAGGGGAACGGCGTTTACGGCTGATCTTACTCAGGCAATCTTACATTACAGTCATACAGATCACCGAAGAACAACTGCGTACCATCCGCAGACAAACGGTCTCACGGAACGCTTGAACAAGACCATTGCCGATATGCTCGCTATGTACGTGGAGACAGAACACAAGACCTTGGACTTAATTCTGCCTTACGTGGTCTTCACCTACAACACCGCGGTGCAGGAGACCACTAAAATGACACCATTTAATCTCGTCCATGGGAGGGATGCCGTTACTACCCTGGACGCCATGCTGCCTAATGTCACTGATGAAAACAACCTAGACGTGGCCGCCTACCTTCAGTGCGCAGAAGAAGCCCGGCAGCTTGCTCGTCTGCGCATAAAAGACCAACAGCGAAACCACGCAAGACCCTACAACCTGCGGAGACGTGATTTAACCTACAGGCCAGGTGACAGAGTCTGGGTTTGGACGCCCGTTCGTCGCCGAGGATTAAACGAAAAACTCATGCGCCGTTATTTCGGCCCATAAAAAGACATCCGTCAAGTGGGTGAAGTGGACTATGAAGTGGTCCCTGATGCTCATCCCAACGACGCCGCGCACGACAAGAAGTGGTACACGTCGCCCGTTTGAAGCCCTATCAGGCGCGCTAAAAGAGGCTCCCTGTTTGCATCTCTTGTTTTGTTTACGTGTACGTGATTCGTGCTTATTTGACATTTACCTTCGCACAGGCTGTCCTTTTGTTTTGGTTTTATTTTAAACAAAGCATCGGGTCGAAGCTTACGTTGAGGAGGGGAGCAATGCCGCGAGGCATATTGCGGATAGTGTTGCGCATGCCGATACCACCGGCACGCGGCCTTATCGTGGTCCAGGATGCACCGCGATTCATCTGTGAAGATCATGGCCCGCACGTCGACCATTCGTTGATAACGAGATAGCGCCAGACGCCACGACGACTGTATCTCGGATGGTGAACGCGCCTTGCGATCCAGTGGGACATTCTGTTCCCCGACGGCCGTCGAACACGCTGTTCGCCACCCGCTAAGCCGATGTGTCTGTTTTCCTTTAGTGGGCGCAAGCCCGCCAAATAAACGGATCTCCTTCTATTTCTACTAGCCTCCCGGTCTCCTGTCTTCAGGCTACCCTCACTCTTACGTGACAATATGCTCGTACGCGTGTTATGCGCACTCAAATTTGTAAACGTAGACAACTGTAGCGCCCACCACATCGAAGAGATGGAGCTCACGAACGTGCGCTTGGTTTTTTTCCCACCGAAGTGCACTTCTGTTCTGCAGCCACTCGACCAAGGCTTAATTCGGAGCGTCAAGTGTGCCTACAGGGATAGGTTGATCCAGCGTCTGCGACTCAACCTCCGCCACAAGCGTCCAACCGATGTCAACTTGTGCATGGCTTTCCATATGAACTCACCGTTGGTGCTTTCGTTCGCGCCTATGACGGCGTAGTCGTGTACGAGAAAGTGACCGACAAGGCCATTATCGAAAGCGTGCGCGAAGCTGACGACACCGAGGACCAAGAAGAGACGCAAGCAGAGAAACCCAACCCGCAAGTTGTTTTGGATGCGCTGAACACCCTTCGCTCCTTCTTCGGCGCACATGACGTTGACGTAGCAATGAACCACTTTTTCCAGTATGAAGGGAGAGCTTTGAAATTGTTGCATGGCAAGGGTCGGCAAAGTAAGTTGACCGACTTCTGGCAATAAATTTTCGTTCTGCTGGCCGTATCACTGTTTTTGTCTCATACTCGCGGCAATGAAATTCTCGCAAAAACGAACTTTTTCGCTTTCCCCAGCAATTTCGTTATTGCGGGCATCGGCTGTATATGGCAAATACAGTAAATTCTCAATAAACAGAAATCTCTCAAACGAAACTACTACTATTGTAGACCTTTTATATGAGATCCTAGAAGAATCACACATGTGAATGAGCACTTACTTTCAGGAAAAAAAAAACTGAGGATTAATGTTATAATGTACCGTAAATAGGAAATCTTAGGAAAAAAATAATCAGACACATTTGAAACTAAATGCGCCACAATAAAAATGAAGGCCCGTTCGTGAAATTGACCATATCATCTACAAAGTGTCTTTCTTTTAGAGCAATAGCTCTACTCCTTTACGCGAGAAACCAGAAAATGGCTAATTCTGTATCTGACTCGAAAGCTCACTCAAGGTCATGCAAGCATTTCTTACGTGCACCGGCTCAGCAGAATATTGTTTATCCAATGCCCACAAGATGGTGCAATGTTCTTGCCAATAAGTTCACACTAACATTTCTGCAATGTATGAGCATATATTCATTGATCACATCTTTCGTTCCGTGTACCTCGTATAGAATCTGCGAAGAAGAACCACCGCTGAGCAGCATCAGTGTGTTATCTTGTAGTGAAATTGTAGATGTGGTAGTTGATGCTACAAATGCAGCTAGCCGCTTTGCCGGAACCACCCATGAAGGAAATAGGAGAAGGATTGATTGATTGATTTGTGGGGTTTAACGTCCCAAAACCACCATATGATTATGAGAGACGCCGTAGTGGAGGGCTCCGGAAATTTAGACCACCTGGGGTTCTTTAACGTGCACCCAAATCGAAATAGGAGAAGGAGTGGGGTCGTCGAGTCGCATGGGTTGCAAATGAATATCGCTAACATTGTTAACTGCAAGCCAAATCTGATCACCCAGATGACAGAGCTTGAAAGCCTCGAATGTTGCGTCCTTTCCCAAAGCAGCCAAGACTGAACTTTCACTCAACACACTTGCCTACCCGTGTTCAACCAAGAAACATTTTTGTGTGCCTCCTCCCGAGTGCATATGCTGCATGTCACACCTGAGGAAGTGCGTACTAAGTAATGCCATAGGTGCACAATGGCAAAGTGCCATGCGATGTACAGAAATGGACGCATTTGTCTAGAACGCTAGATTGACATGATGCGGTGGTGTGTATACCAATAACAAGTAGTTTGAGATGGCCCACATTTGAGTATTCGTTCTCAGTGGCAATATATGCTATTATTTGGGGTTTTTCGAACCAGGTGTAATTGGCAAAAGCTATCAGTGTAGTCTGGAGCATGCCATTCCATTATACTAGACAAGTGTGTTGACCTCTGTAAAAACCTACATAGAATTGCCGTGCAAAGTGGTGAAAATTCACCACTTTGGAGAATGGACAGGCAGCAAGCAATGTCGAACAAGTCAGAGATACTACGAAAAATGTTAAACAATTGAAACGCCGACCATGTGTGCGCACAGGCCTCTAGGTTGTGTGCGAAAATCAAGCATTTTCATATTGAAGTTCACAAGAGAGATATAGATGGTTTCAATTAGCAATCATCATGTAGATTTTTTTCATGTAACCCAGAAATTGGACTACCTACAATTACACCATCACTTTAATTGGCCCAAACGACTAACCCACTCTGTTTGGTTTAGCCTAGTTTAGTATGGGAGAAGCAGAATACTGACTAGCCAAGCCACACATTGGTGATAAGGGTAAACAAAGCTTAGCACTAAAAATGAGATAGATCACCTGAGCCACAGTTTCGTAGGCCAAGTAACTGAAGACGCTCAAGACGGATGGCGACAGTTTCACATCGCTGTCGATGTAATTCATTACCCATTCTCGAAACCGTCCCGACTTGTGTTTTCCGTCTGAAATGGTAAGCGTACAAGCATGAACCGAGTCAGTGTCTCATCACAACTTATTATGTGTCAAACACATCTAATCAGGTAAGAATAAAAAACAATAGGTCACAAGAAATGAAAAAATAAAACCCTGTATAATACCATTTCAATTAGACAGCAGCATCAAGAGCAATAAGAACTGAAAAATTGTTGAACACCCTGGAGCTGATAATTCAACAAGGGGACTTGTCAAGTACTGGGGCATGTATCAGGTCATGTATCAAACCATTTATCGAGTCGCTGATAAGCATAATTGGAAATTTAAGGACATGTTAGTGCATGCAAAAGTAAACCTCATCCTAATGCACACAATAATAGACTCCTTTAAAGATGAACTAGAAAGGACTGCCATCATTTGTTCGTCTATCGGGCGTTTGCCTTAACGAAAATGCTCCCAAAAACCAAATGCTAACATGCCAAGTAGGCTCAAATAAGTTGCTTGAGAGCACTGAAAGAAGTATATACTTATAATGGAGAGGAAAAGAAAAAAAAAACATTTATTTGGCTCAGCTTGAAAACAACTATGCTTTAGAGTATAGTACTGACACTAATCTAATGTGAGTTTATAATAAATATGCTAACGAATAAACTGATAACACATTTTAACAATAAAACTGTAGCACGGACCCTATTTTGACAATTAGAAAAAGATAAAAAGGGAGAGACAAGTACAACTTTCCTTCGAAGAATGGAAAATTTGTGTTTCTGGCTGTTCACTTCATGAGAGGCTGTTTTACTGCCTCTGCTATCACTTTTGGATATGCCTCTGTTACACACAGCTACCTTGGCAAAGCCAACATATGCCAAGTTGCTTCTAAAAGTTTGCAAGCTTTTCTTTGGGGTTTGAATATTTTCTTCTTTTCAGCCCGCAGTCACTTTTCCTGAACGACATGCAGCTAAAGATTGCCGCTTATGCTATGCACGATCACAAGCCTCGGGCACACAAAAAGGACAGACTGCAGCTATATTTAGTGCGCAATATGGCCTTCCTTTTTCGTGCATTTTGATAATAAAATGACACATCATAATTCACTGCATTTCACTGTGAACAGATAGGATACACACACACTGTGCAAAACAACAAAAACTGATCACATGTGCTCAGGTGTCATTGTGTGACGTCAATGACTACGCATCTGACTCCTCTGATGAGAGTTTTAGTGCCGCATATGTGGTATCTGTTTCATGCGATTATAATGTACAGACAATCCTTGTTCCCATTTTCATTTGGCTTTCTTTTTGCCCCTTCCCTTGCATTTTCTTCTCTAGCCAAGCTGTTCCCTACTGTACTCTTGTCAGGAAACTGAAGAACACATGGAGAATACGAAAGGACGAACGCTCTTTGTTGCTTTCTTTTCTGATAAAGCCGGCTCTTAGTCCACCTACAGGCTAGGGGTGAGGAGATACTAGCTTGAGGTGCTGACTTTTCTTTCCCACTTATCTCGCTTTCTCCCTACACGTTGCCATCAGCTTTCAATTTACTTTGAGTCCTTGCAACAGAAAGGTTTTTTCTTCCCCCCATTTTGCTTCTTTTTGTTCGCCATCAAGACTCGTTCATTGCGCAGAGTCCCTGTCAATGTTGGCCGCTGCGAGAGTTCATCATAACAGAACAGGCATTTTACGTGGTTCGTCTGAAACAGATTTTTTTTTCATTGAGTCTACGAGAAACCTAACAAACACTCTCTGGTTGTTTCGTTTTAAGCAAGAATTCATCCAGAGTTCGTCTCAACAGAAGTTTACTGAAATACCTTGTTCTCGACAACATGGAGGACATTGCAAACACCTTGAAATTCATGTCATATTTAAAAGCAAGACAATACATCCATCACATAAATTCTAGTTTTACCTTGCATTTGTTAAACTGTTACTTCCATGATCAAATGATTATATTGTCACAAAAAGTATATTGACAAAACAGGACAGCCTGTTGATATTACATTAAAAAGACATAGCAGGGACATGGCAAGAAAATTACCAAAAGCAGCGGCACAACATTTTAATGTGCAGACCACAACTTCGACGGTCTCTAACTTTACATAATTCAGTCAAATTTACGGTCCATGAGGAACAGCAAATGCAAAGAATAATACCTTATTCCCACGTTTATTACACCACAGCTAAGAGGCATAAAAGTTTCAAAGGAGGCTCTTCGATCCATCCGATATGGTACATTAACAACAGAGACAAGTGAGAATAACCTTCTTCTGAAAATTCCTAACCAAGCTCATCACAGTGAAATTCTCATTGACAGGTGGTGTTTCCTTGTGGAAACCCTAATTCAGCAAGATTCCTACCTGCCTTTCTACACATCAATGCAAATACCTCAACACCACCCCACGGTTTCTTTTTCACTGACTGTTTCCTCCTTCCTCTGCACAGCCCACCGACTCCTTCTATCTCCCCCACCTATGTTTTCGCAGTTGCCCTTTCCTCCTCCTTTGTCTTGGTTGGAGGAAAGGGCACAAAGCATATTGTCACGTTTCTTAAGACAAACTTGGTTTAATGGGTTCGTTGAGTCGACTGGCCAAGCAGCAGCTCAGACAGATCGTCGTTGTCTTCTTTCACTCCTGGATCTCAACCAAGCATATCATGTGGCAATAGTCCCCCCTTTGAAAGCATCGACTCGATGCTCGTAAAGAAAAAAAAAATGAAAGCATACACACGCAGATACAGAGAACTAAAAGAGGGAGAGTGCCAGTACTCGCAGCGCAAATGAGGAAATTTCGCCAATGCTTGCGCCAAGCACAAAAGGAAAGGCATAAAAACACAGGAGAACACGAACAGTAGCAGCAGCACAATGTCATGGCTTGTCGCAACACGTGAACCACAAGGGCTACTGTGTGAAGTAGGACTTCAGCCTAACGACATGCACGGTTTCGGGCCGAAGCTGTCGACGAGAAGACGCTGCGCCGTCCGGAAATACCTCGTAGGTAAGATCTGTGACACGTCTAAGAACCTTGTATGGTCCAAAATAACGGCTTAGGAGTTTTTCGGATAAACCTGGTCGCCGGACAGGGGTCCACACCCACACTCGGTCCCCAGGGTGGTAGGTGACGTTTCGATGGCGGAGGTTGTAACGTCGTGCGTCTTCATCTTGTTGGTGACTGGTGTTTATGCGAGCTAGCTGACGAGCTTCTTCGGCGTATTGAGTGTATTGCTCAGCGTCTGGAGCAATTTCATTGCTTTGGTCACACGGAAGCATAGCATCGAGCATGGTTCGCGCGTTGCGACCGTAAACGAGTCGGAAAGGCGGAAATCGCGTTGTTTCTTGCGTTGCCGTATTGTATGCAAACGTGATGTATGGAAGAATTTCGTCCCAGGTTTTGTGTTGTACGTCAACGTACATTGACAGCATGTCCGCTATGGTCTTGTTAAGCCTCTCTGTCAGTCCATTCGATTGCGGATGATAAGCGGTCGTTTTTCGATGACTTGTGCAGCTCAATTAAAAAATGTCCTCCATCATTCGTGCTGTAAATGACGTTCCTCTGTCCGTAATCACGCATGATGGGGCACCATGCCGTAGGACGATTTGGTGCACGAAGAACTGCGCGACTTCAGAGGACGTGCCACGGGGTAACGCTTTTGTTTCAGCATAATGAGTAAGATAATCTGTCGCAACTATAATCCATTTGTTCCCAGAGGACGACAAAGGGAAGGGTCCAAGAAGGTCCATTCCCACGAGGTCAAACGGTGTCTGTGGTGGTGCGATCGGCTGGAGCAGGCCTGCGGGTCTCACAGGCGGAGTCTTGCGACACTGGCACTCACGGCAGCCTTTCACGAATTGATGTACGCTAGCTGATAGTCGCGGCCAGTAATACTGTTGGCGTACTCTGGCGAGAGTTCGCGAATAGCCCAAATGTCCTGGCGTGGGCTCATCGTGGCACGCAAGGAGGATCTCGTCCCGCATTTCGGTAGGAACAACGAGTAGAAAGGCTTTGTCGCTACCACGGGCGTTTTTCTTGTAAAGAATGCCTCTTCTTAGACAAAAAGAGGACAGTTCGCGAGCAATGTGTCGAGGGACCTGAGAGTTCCGGCCTTCCAGGGAATCAATAGCTGGGCGTAATTCGTCGTCTGCCCGCTGTTTTGACATAAATTCGGAATCGCTGACTGCTCCGAGAAAGGCATCATCATCCTTGGAGCCCCTGACAGCGTGCCCCACAGGCGCCCGAGAAAGCGCGTCGGCATCTTCATGTTTGCGCCCTGACCTGTACACAATCGTAATATCGAACTCCTGCAAACGCAAACTCCACCGAGCGAGACGGCCGGATGGATCTTTGAGATTTGCCAGCCAGCAGAGCGAGTGGTGGTCAGTCACCACTTTGAAGGCACGACCGTAGAGGTAAGGCCGAAACTTGGTCGTCGCCCACACGACTGCGAGGCATTCTTTTTCCGATGTAGAATAGTTGGTCTCGGCTCGAGAAAGAGTACGACTGGCATAAGCTATTACGTGTTGACCGCCACCGTGTCGTTGTACAAGGACAGCGCCAAGTCCGACGTTGCTGGCATCTGTATGAATTTCTGTAGCAGCGTTCTCATCAAAAAAACTGCGCTCCAAGTAAAAGGCACGTCATCTCGGGTGAGTCGCGTAAGAGGTTCAGCTATCTTCGAGAAGTTGGCGATAAATCGGCGATAATACGCGCACAAGCCGAGGAAACGGCGTACTGCTCTTTTATCTGATGGAACAGGAAAGGCGGCGACAGCAGCAGTTTTGTCTGGATCAGGTCGCACTCCATCCGCACTAATGACATGTCCCAGAAATTTCAGCTCTTCGTAGCCGAAATGGCATCTTTGGGGTTTCAGCGTGAGTTTAGCTGTGCGAATGGCATCCAGAACCTTTCTCAGACGCTTCAGATGTTCTTCGAAGCTCTCGGAAAAGATGACCACATCATCGAGGTAGACAAGGCAGCTTTGCCACTTCAAGCCAGCAAGAACTGTGTCCATCATCTTCTGAAAAGTAGCTGGGGCAGAACAGAGGCCGAAGGGAAGAACACGGAATTCGTAAAGTCCGTCTGGAGTCACAAACGCGGTTTTTTCTCGGTCTCGTTCATCCACTTCAATTTGCCAATAGCCACTCTTTAGATCGATGGACGAAAAATACTTCGCACGTCATAATCTGTTGAGAGAGTCGTCGACCCGTGGAAGCGGGTAAACGTCTTTTTTCGTGACGCTATTAAGCTTCCTGTAGTCAATACAAAATCGCAGCGTACCGTCTTTTTTCTTCACTAGAAGAACTGGCGAAGACCAAGGGCTGTTGGATGGTTGAATAATCCCGTCATCGAGCATATCTTTTACTTGTGTCTGAATAGCTGCACATTCTTTGGAAGAAACGCGATAAGGCTGCTGCCGGATGAAGCGGACGTCATTGTCGGTAATAATTCGATGCTTGGCGAGGTGTGTTTGACGGACTTTGGAAGAAGAGCCTTAAAAGGTCATGACCCTTAAAAGGTCATGAAGTGCAGCCTTTCTTTCTGACAGCGTCGAATTAATGTCGATGTGGTCTAGAAATTCTTCATCCTCATGCGTTTCCTCGGACGCGAAGCACTCCGTGACGTAGGCAACAGGGTCTCCATAGGCTACGGTAGTTCCGCAGAAAAGATGCCGGTGCTCGTAGTTGAAGTTCGTAACTAGTATTTGCGACTGTCCGTTACGGACACGCACAACACTTCAGGCGGCACATACACCTTGGAGTAGCAGAAGTGATAGGTTGCTTTCAGCCACCACGTCACCGTCCCGGAGGTCTTCAGAAATGACTTCGATGGGAACAGTCGCTTGAGGCGGCAGCGTCACACTGTCATCAGCAACATGCAGCGCAGGTCTACGGCAGTTATCAGCGTCTCGATCTGTTGCGCCTTGAGTCGAGAAGGTCACAATGCGCTCACGAAGATTTATGATGGCACTGTATTCCCGAAGGAAGTCCATGCCGATAATCAGCTGACAGAAACAGTCGCGCAGAACGAGGCAGCTGAGCACAAACGTTGACGCACGAATTTCCCCTCTTGCCGTACAGCGACCCAGTGGTGTTACAACGTGTCTTCCCGTAGTTCGAATTCGCGTTTCATTCCACGGCGTAATCACTTTCCTGAGATCTTTTGCTAGCCTCCCGCTGATAATCGAATAGTCTGCACCAGTGTCTATCAATGCATTGACCTGAAAACCGTCAATCAGCACAGGTATGTCAAGTGACACGCGGTCACTGGGTTCAGATGTGGATTTCGGCGTTTCCTCGGTACTGCGATTATTCTCTGATTGAATGTCTTCTGTGTGGCGTGCAAGCGTCGGTGGGAGGTCTTCCGCACTTTGAGTCCCAGCGACCTTGCCCCCAAAGGCCGCTGCCTTCAGTTTTCCCGACGAGGGCTTGGAGAGCGTTCCCGTGTCGTCACCTCGAAACGTGACCCAGTGGCTGCGGGTCTCCTCGGAGATGGTGACCGTGATTGCCGTCGTGTAAAGGGTGCACGCTGTTGCGCGAGATACTCTTCGATATCCCTCGACCTTTGACCAATTTGGGGACGAGGTGAATTGATGGAAAATCCACGCAGGCCAAGTTGCCGGTATGGGCATTCGCGGTAAATGTGACCAGCCTCACCGCAATGATAGCAGAGGGGTCATCTGTCTGGTGTACGCCAGAGATCAGACTTGCGCGTCGGTGCACGGCGACTGTCGATGTCCAAATCAGCGTGCGCTGACTGAATCGCGACTGACGACATCATTGTCTGGATCGGGACGTATGGCATTGTCTGGATCGGGACGTGCGGCACTGTCTGGATCGGGACGTGCGGCACTGGCTGGGTCGGGACTCTTTGACCAGAAAGAGGAGTGGCAGATCGCAAGGCTTCCGCGTACGTACGACGGCGACTGTCAGTAGACACAGGAGCCGTTTCCGGATCAACTGACGTGGGCGGAAAACGATGGGCGTGCAGCACCTGCTGGACCTCGTCATGAATGACACTGGTGATAGAACCAACATTCATTCGCCTTGTCCCGTACATCTTTTCTATTTCTTCCCGGACGACCGATCGGATGATCTCGCGAGTCCATTCGGGGCTCTTGCTCCCAGGGGTGGCGAAAATTTCGGGAGTTGATGCAGCATTCACTTGACGGTCAAACAGGGCAGACCCTTGGTGCAGTACTTGTTCCATTGTTGCCGCTTCAGTAAGGAACTCAGCAACACACTTGGGGGGACTACGCACCAAACCAGCAAAAAGTTGTTCCTTCACACCACGCATGAGGTGGCGCAACTTTGTTTCTTCTGCCATAGCAGGATCCGCTCGCTTGAAAAGCCGTGTCATGTCCTCAAAGTACATCGAGACGGTCTCGCTTGGCATCTAGATGCGTGATTGCAGTGCACGCTCCGCCCGTTCGCGGCGGTCGGGACTCCTGTAGGTCTCCAGAAGGCGACGCTGGAACTCGCACCAAGATGTCAGAACAACATCCCTGTTCAAAAACCACGTCTTGGCACCGTCCTTTAAGCAAGTGTACACGTTCCGGAGCTTCACGGCATCATCCCAGTAATTTATCGCTGCGACACGTTCGAACTCACTCAGCCAGTCGTCAACATCTTCATGCTGCTCTCCATGAAAAGGGCTAGGCATGAGCAGGTTCTGGACGGTGCAGTAGATCGGCGTGGAAGGTGTCGGAGCTTGCACAGGATCTTGTGTCGAAGTCGTAGTCGCTGCGTCAGTGGTTGGTGTCTCAGGTGGTAGGCCTCGTTGGCGGCGGCTTACTCTGTGAACAGGAGTGTCCACGGGTGCAGGGCTTGTTTTCCGGCTTCTGGGTGGGGTCTTGGGCATCGGGTGGATCGTGAGACGTTGTACCCAGCACTTCCACCAGTCTTGTCACGTTTCTTAAGACAAACTTGGTTTAATGGGTTCGTTGAGTCGACTGGCCAAGCAGCAGCTCAGACAGATCGTCGTTGTCTTCTTTCACTCGTGGATCTCAACCAAGCATATCATGTGGCAATATACATACACACACTAGCTGCAGCCTTGAAGAGGACAAGTCCATTCGTGAAAACGCCAGTTCCATTGACATGCCGTTTTGACGACTTCTGCATCTTCTTTAAAGGGCCCTGCAACACTTTTCCAAAGAGCCGTGGAATGAACTCAATGAAGGAGCGTCTTGCCTCGTGAATTGACCACCGCAAAAATTTTCAGAATCTGTCCAGTACGAGTGGAGTTACAAAGATTTGTTGCATGCTGCAATTGCTTTCTTTATTCTCTAGTCCCGACGAAAGCACTGGAAGCTAAGTGGAGAAGAATGGCAGGACGACAAGGGTACATTAAGCGTGCCTCTTAACCTCGAGCACTTTTTACTTGTTTTTTTCCTCCAAAGCCTGGCTTTCAGCAGACAGGTCGCAGCTCTTGGGAGAGCCCCAGGAACTCCCAAGTGCGCCATCCTCAAATGAGCCAATGGTGTGATAATAGCCTGCGATGCCCCGATTTTTGAGTATGTAGCATTATTTGTCGACAGAGGCAAAAGCGAATTATAAGTGATTTTGAAAACTTATTGTAAACTTGAGATCACGTGCTGTGCTATAATATTTTGCTCCATGTTCTCAAGAGCCACGACTACTCATCGGAAAAATTTTCTGACCATGCAAAAAAAATGTTCCAAGGCTCCTTCAAGCTTCCATTTTTCACCCAAAGTTCTCCCTTTTTTTGGATTAAAAGCAGTAGCGATTTCTCCCTTCTGTATTTTATATTACTTCCATGTATTCCTCGTTGCTAAAGCTTGTTGCCCTAGTTAGGTTGCAACTGCAGTGATTGTAGACACACCACAAAACACATGGTGCATAGCTTGCAACTTCAATGTTGAAAATAAGAAAAACACGAACAAGAATATTGCGGGCATTTTATCAAAATCTACACATGAAACACGGAGGCATTGAGATGTGTCCTAGGATAGCACAGGGAACATCAAGGTATGTTCAGTATGTCTTAACTCGCATCAGTGTGTTCGTCGTACTTTGGCCACCAAAACACATGATGACTTATTTTCTGCCACTAAAATACCATGACGGTATTTGTCAGGAAACCTAATGTACTGAAATGGGACCTTCAGCTTGTTGATTGTGACCACAGTAAAGGGCCACAAAAATGTAGTTTACATCAAGTTGGTGCAAATCAAGCGCTAAAAACCCATTTGCCTGATTCTAACAAAGCACCGTATTTTGGCTCCCGAGCGCATTTAAGTTCTGTAACCTTTCCTGAAAAGTATCCGTAAGATATCAGAATCAGAATTTTATTAATGAAAATTGTGTAGAATAACAGGCATTCGGTATACAAAAGGAGGTCCCATTGTCAAAACACTGTATTAGGACCTCCTGTACAAAAAACAACATGTTAGTAAACACTTAATAGCAACAGTAGCGACAGGTATCAGTCAGATACGGTGTTGCACTTATCCCATGAGTGCTGAAATTTGTGCTAACAGCTAAATGTCTTCCTTGGGTGATTGGGGGGTGGGGCATAAGCTGCTGTTTTCATTTGTTCATAATGTTTAACTGCGACCGAAAAATCGCTAACAGGTTTGTGCTTCCAGCCCTCGTTTGTTCTGGTGAGCAACTCTGTATTCCACATGGCTGCTTTCTGTGGCCCCACATTTAAGCAGCCTCGAGATCTTCGTAATCTGTGTGCTATCGCAGCTTACAGAGGTATAGAGCTAAATGTGCCTTAAAGAAAAAGGCATTGATGCAGAGTGTGACTAAAGTGATATATATCTAACTCAAAAGTTGTGAAAACATACAGAAGGATGATGTTCTTGCATTGAAGTACTCCATGTACTGGGTTTCGTCCATGGCTCTTGCGTGTGCATCTAACCTCTGCAGAAAATAAATGCAGTGATAACTTAAGGACACGCAGAACTTTGAATGTATCATTCTGTCTAAGCAATCTCTGTGAGCTGCTAATGAACACTAAAAGCCACAACAGGATTATCATGCTTTCTTAACTGTATCGCTAGTAAAAGCTATCATGCATTACTAAAACACACACATTTGTATGTGTGTACGTATAAATTTATGCACATAGAAACGTATCTGTGTGTGAATGTATGTGTAGATATGTACCAGCAAGTACAGACATGCATTACCTTTTAATAATATATGGGGCTTATGTCCCCAAACCACAGTTTGATTATGAGAGATGCTATAGTGGAAGCTCTGGAAATTTTTGAACCTATGGTGTTATTTGACATGCATTGAGATAATACAGTACACGGGCCTCTATCATTTTGTCTCCATAAAAATAGACTCATATTGGCCCCAATCGAACCCGCAACCTTCGGGTATCACACGAACACTCTAGCCCCTGTTTCACCAGGGCAGACACGTGGATCATGTTTAGCTGATGCTTAATAGTAATAGCACACAATGTATTTATGGTGTGTCAAGTGCACTGCTACCTAGATTTCACACATCTACTGCAAGCACACCAACGAATGCCACAACAAGAGCTGAGGGTGCATCTCACTTGAGGAGTTGGCACCACCAAAGAGTTAAGAAAATGAAAAGGCTTCAATGTGCATACGTTGCACTCAACAACATGAGATTGAGCAGACAGATGATGTGCAGCAGAGTACAGCACAGTGGCTACGCTGTAACTTTGAGAGAAGCAAAGTTGCCGGAAGAGATCATGGCAAGTCTGCGGCCCTCATATTGAAGAAATATGATGATTAAGACATGCAGGCTGGCTCCATGGCCTGGTTATCACAGGGGATGAAATCGGCTTCACGCCTAGAAGCACATGAGCACAGTACTCGTGAATTATAACAGGACAATTCAGGGTAAAGTAACGCACATATTTTCATTTCCACTATCTTCAGTTTGGGTCACATCAACGTCATTTCAGACGCGAGTGGGTAAGTTGAAGCCAACACTGTCTTTAGAAACCACATTCATCGTGACATGACATGGCTATCCCGAGCACTTGTGCAGGCTAGTCATTCTTCTAAAATATTTGAAATAGTGTTCGAATACATAAGTACTGTATATGCTACATCCCACTCTACCATATTACTATAAAAACTGATTCAAGTGATGCAAGACCTTGTAGTTACTGTATGAAAGATGCCAAATTTCAAGGGCCTGCTTCTTTTCTTGGCATAACCATAATTAAAACCATTAGATAATGAAACAAAAGAAGGTATAGGGGACAATAACAGTATTGTTTTTGAACTGGATTGTAGTAATCGTGAACTCGATGGGAGAAAGTAAATAGGACGAGAAGAGAACTTGCTGCCAATTAGCAACTGAAGCCGCCACTTTTGCATAGCATGCCTGATGTTCTGTTTGTTGAGCTATGGCGACACTTGTACTCTCGCCCACTTTGCTGAGTATTTAAAAGCAAGAAAAACCTGGGAGTGTTAATCTGCACCGTAGTCACTTTGTCTCACAAGGTTGTGAGACAAGGCTGTGACATTTACGCAATAAGTACTAATATGCTGATAAATTTCCCGTAAATACGTAGGTTAATGCAAAGAAACATAGTTGTAGTAACTCTACTGTTACAGCACTTCCAAAAATCAAAAAATGCAAGGTGAGGTAGAACGATTGATACTTGCCACATTCCTTTCGTGCTTTACTTCGTCAAATGCCGATTCATTGAATGCACCTGCCAGCTCTCCTGTTTGATCGATGAATGAAATGAATTCCCGGCAAATCTTTGTTCGCTTGAACTCATGTCCTTCTTCAGATTTTACATCTGCCAAAGCTGCAAGAAATTTTCGAAAACTTATGGTACTATTTAATGTTGTTTCTCAACACTTGTGTATGCAAATGGAAAGAAATACATTTTACCATGAGAATATATAAAATATTGTTTCCCCTCTTCTCCAGCACGGTGCTACAAAATTCAATTGTAACACACTTAATGCAGCTGATAAAAAGAAACATTCTTCAGGCAATGCACTCAGGCTAACTACGCTGTCTGCCCAAATCAACAGTATCCATCTGTGGCCACTATTGAGTTTGTAGTTACATATACTCGATCTAATTTATAAAAATGAATAACTATGACAATCATCGAAATATGAGAAGTTTTGTCACAGTATTCATATTATAAATAGCTGATACAACTTTCATGTATTCCTTATTCCCAGCTCATAAGGTGGTAAAATTCAACATGCGAGAACATGCACTCATGGTTGAACGTGTGCTGCTATGTCTGCTAAGCTACTCAGACGGCCACTATATATACGGTGGCGGAGTTCAGGATATCTAAGCGAAGGCCCTCTTTTCTCTTTTTCTTTGAAGCAACAGCAAAGGGAAGAAAAGGTCACCAGGACAAGAAATATCAAAGTACCAATCACAATTACCGTAGAGCGTGCTTCACTGTAAGGCGACTACTGTTGAGGGTAAGCCACACCTCAACAAAGCAGGCGTACTGCGAAGGGTGTCCCGAAACGAACTGGGAAGACATGTGACGAAACAGCATCGCAGCTGCGAGAATTCAATGATGAGAGAATGAAGAACGTGGAAAATGCAGATTTTATTAGGCAAATATAGCAGCTGAAACTACCTCTTAGCACTAATAGTGGGAGTCACTTGCCAGCTTACAAGTTGGACCATGGTTTTAAACCGTGACAAATGTTTAAAAAGTACCGGAAAGAAAGCACACTCGGAAACTCGCAAGCTTTTTGTATGGAAAGAACGCGCCTAGACAGCATCAGCCAGCATACGAAATATGAGTAACGTAACGTTTTGGGCATGTTGGTGCGCCATACTGCAGTTTTCAAGCGCACAAACAAACACAGACGAAGAAGGACGGGATTCCGAGAGCAATTATATGGACAGTCTCGGCTGGTCTTTGCCAACAACGGGCTGCGCTCTCAAAAAAAAAAAAAAAAAAAAAAGAACTGTGCCAAGTGAGTACCAGGAGCAGCCGCGTTCTCTTAAGGCACGTTTACACTAGAGAGACCCGACACTGCTTTTGATCTGCCAACTATCTTTGGGAGTGCATTTTGTCTTGTCGTCGTCATATTTACACTACAACGACACAAACAGTTCGCCGATGGTCTCTGGAAGACTCCGCTCGTGCCTTGTCGTGCTCGCAGCCTTTCGTTGGCCGATTCTGTAGTCACAATGAAGGTACACGCAGCGACACCGACTAAACTTGCACCTCATTTGCAGCGATGCTCCCTGCTCTGCCTTTGTCCCTCTCCTGCTACGCAGCGCAGCCCCCGCGATAACCCACGGCGTCGAGGAACGGGGTTGGAGAGACACGAAAGAGAAGCAAAGACAGGAATTCCGTGGGGTGCGCAAGATGCCCATTCAAACGCTGTGGGAGCCTCAGAGAGGGCATTGTTATCTCTCCCGAAATTTCCCCCTTCATGGTCGTTTGAAGCAAAGACATTGGCAAATTTTCGCTCAGCCGCAGATTTCCCGGCGACACACCGACGAAAGGTCTGCCGATGCGTTTTAATGGTGTTTTCAGTTTGTCATTAGGTTACAGCACGACGACAGGCCGTCTTTTGAGGCGGCGGGCTAGTGTGACCATAGGGTCTGGCGACTTCGTCGGCGGCCGACTCGTTGGCCGATGGTCTGCGTCTGCCTCGTGTCTTCGTCGGGGTCGTGTCAGTGTCGTGTCGCTCTAATGTGAACGCAGCTTTACACCAGCGTTTTGTAGAGTTACGCGAGATCGGATGCTAGCCCTGCTTCGTAAAACATACGAGTATGTTGCTGTAGCATTAATCGCTTCGCCTTTATTGTGAAACTGTAGCTTTTTTTTTGTGTGTGTGCGAAAAAAAAACTACTCTACGAAAAATGGTATCTTCTTAACAGGGCAGGGAGAACGGGAGACTGAAAGAGGGAGAGAAAGGCTAGCGCTTTGAATTATTTGTAAGGGCTAGATTTCCTCCTGGCCGGTTCCTGACCGGCAGTCAGTTTTAGGGGATAAGCTCCTTAAAAGCGTGGGTCTGTACATCCTCCGAGGTATGTAGCAGTGGTGGGTAGCCACCTCTAGTTTAGTTCATGGAGCATCCACTAGATGGCGGTACTTGTAGTTGATGAAAAGATGTTACAAATCTAGATGACGGTACTTCCGTGCTTCTGTCCATCCGTCTGTCTGTCTGTGCTTCCATTCGTTTTTGTTTCCGTCCGTCTATGCATCCATCAGTCCTTCCATCCATTCGAATGCTTCGCCCCACTCATCATCATTCACTCCGTGGATATGCTGTCATTCTTTTTTTTCCTATACAGTGCTGGCTGCTGACGCGCAGTGCACTGCTTCGCGCAATTCGGCAGTTTTTCGGTTCCTCATCAATGGGTACGCCAGACGCTTCATCGCAAACGCTCCAGTGCGACACAGTTCCCGGGAGGCAATTGAACTGGTACAAACTACTTAAATACTAACTATTAATGGGTCTCTCAATTCTGTAAACAATAACGTATTATGCTTCGCCGACTCCAATGTAATGCGGCGTCTCCCCCCCCCCCCAAGTCCAGTAATGCGTATTACGAACAAATCATTTGCAACAGTACTAGCATGAATAATTATTTGTGTTAAATAAATCGCTTCGGTAGATCTACATCTTGAACTTCGCGCTTTGACATGATTTCATTGTATTATTATTTGAATTTCAGCATTTCTTAGGTTTTCCGAGATACATGACATCCTCCACCCCCCCCCCCTTCCCAATCCCACACGCAAATTCACTCCCATCATTACTCGCTTCGAAGGTTGCCATTATTTCTTGTTTCCTCCACGAAGATGCTAACCTTATTTGTTTATTAAATCTCGATAATATATGCGACACCACTGATACAACCACGGTCACCGCTCGCAACGATGATGGAAAGCTACATATTAAAAAAAAAGCAGCAACAGAAGCCCTGCAAACATTTTCATTTATTCATTCATTTGTTTGTTTACTTTGTTTTCTTCGGAACAAGACGCGTCACTTAGATCATGAGCTGGCGGTGTCAAAAGAGCAAAGCGCAGCGCATTCGCTGACCTGACTCGGCGGAAGAGAGCGATGCTGCCGATGCCTCTTCGTCATCCGTGGGCAGCTTTGAGTAGATGTAGCCCTGCAATGACTTCAGTTCCAGGTAGCGAACCAAACGGCCCAGCTTGAACTGCAACGAGGCATGCAATCGGCTGAATTCGCAATGGCACTCATACGCCGAGATGAAAAGAAAAGAAAAGATAGAAAGCTTAAATCTCAATTAGCGATTCGTGAGTATGATGATATACTTGTTTATTGGAACAAGGGCCAGTAACGGCCAAAGAGTGCGAGGACACGTTAATGGACATGGTTGTTGCGGTAAAGGATGTGAGCATTGATCCTGTTAAGTGGCTGTATAAGGGCCTAAAAAGCTATGCTCACTGAAGGTGCGCAAAACATATAAGTAAATTGTGAGTATAGTTAGCGCTACGTATGCTCGACATTAACACTACGGAAAGTGGCAGGCGACCTTTCCTACACCGGCCTGTTCACGCCAACTGTTACAACGAGAGCACCAGCCACAGGTTTTGCCGCATTCTCTATGCAATGCATCGTAGGAGGGACAAAACGATAACAACCATGCTGCAGGTTAAAACTTTAATTATGTGGTTTTACAAGTTAAAACACCGACATCATTACAAAACAAATTAACCCAACAGACAATTAGGCCAGGAAAATCATAGGGGCCATTAATTGTTGTCTTCAACCGTAGTGAAGCAATAATGGCATAAATTTAAATTAAGTGAACGAAAAACAGTAACTCTTTCCATCTGTGGGATCCAGACCCACGAACTTAAATCTCGAACGTATAGGGTTCGGATACCACAAAATCCGGCCGACCAAAAATCGTCCTTTCCATCAACAGTATCCCAACAGAAAAAAAAAAAATCAAATTCGGACGTTTCAGCAGCGCAACGCCATATCCGCTGCTAAGACACTACGGTGAGCGGCAGGCGACCTTTCCGACACCGGCTTGTTCACGCCAACTGTTACAACGAGAGCACAAGCCACAGGTTTTGCCACATTCTCTATTCATCGTATACTATACGCAATAAACTTGATTCTTTTTCTTCATAGAAAGGCTACACAATATATAGAACTTCTTATAAAATTTGCGTGACTTAAAAATAATGATTGATATGTGGGGTTTAACGTCCCAAAACCACTATATGATTATGAGAGACGCCATAGTGGAGGGCTCCGGAAATTTAGACCACCTGGGGTTCTTTAACGTGCACCCAAATCTGAGCACACGGGCCTACAACATTTCCGCCTCCATCGGAAATGCAGCCGCCGCAGCCGGGATTTGAACCCGCGCCCGGCGGGTCAGCAGCCGAGTACCTTAGCCACTAGACCACCGCGGCGGGGCAAACTTAAAAAAAAAAAAAAATAAGCCACCCATGAAACATGGAGGCACAAAAAAAAAAGGACGTAGACCGGACAAGCGCTGCCGCCAGCCGAACTTGTCCGAACTTGTCCGCAGGACCACCTGCGTTTTCTGTCGCAGTTTCCTAACACCCATACAACGAAGGGGACGGGACGCAGCTACCGATTACACATTCGTAAAGCTGTACACACAATGTCTATTTGGTATTGTGCTGCATTCATCGTACCTGAAACGAGCGACTGGCGACTGCGGGCTGAACGAGGCACTCTACGCGACGACGTAGCTGGCATTGCGATTACGCGGACATCTTGCGGGAAGTGACGACAACATACGCACTTTCTCGGATAACATTCACAGGCAAGCAAGCTTCGTGAAGGTGCGATAACTATGCGATACCAGAGCAAAAAAAAAAAAACGCATTTTTCTTCCAGCGCACTTTTTTTTTTTCAATGTCAACGTGCGACCGTTATCGGCTTGCGTCACAAAACGTTACAGGGTCTGCAATGCATTCGCCTAAAACGACCGGAAGGCGAATGCACCCACCCTTTTGTTCTCGACCAAATGTATTGACCCTCCTTCCTACCGCCCTTCGCCATGAAACCTTTCTGCAACCAACGTAGATTTGCAGTGCCTACGAGATCGGGAAGCATTGCAAGCTTCCTGTACCTCACGTGGTTTAACGTTGCCTCCGTGATTGCTTATGACCGAGCGAGGATGTCATGTGGTTACGTGACGTTGTGACGTCACGACGACGGCAGAAACCGTGACGACCTATGAAGTCATGATGGCGTCATATGAGTGTTGAAGATTGGGCGAGTTGGTTCGTCGTACTTGAACTGGTATAGCGCATTACGGGGAAGAAGAAACGGCCGAGCAGACCGACACAAGAGGACAGAGCGCTAACTTCCAACTGAGCTTTATTGTCAAACTGCATCAAATATGTAGACCGGCGCAAGCATACAAAACCACCCTAACGCAACGACAAGATAACACACAACATCGCACCGTCACATATCACAGATTCATAGGCGGTTATCCTGATTAAGGAAGGCCACTTCATGTTCAGATAAAACCAAAGAAGGGGCGCTAATACACGTGCTGCCAGCTCTTGCTATACAATGCGCTTCTATAATTTCTCGAGTTAATTGTGACGGGTGCTTTTTTACCACTTCACATTGATCAAACATGGGGGTACATCCACAATCGCGGCAGTGAATTCCATTGTGGCCCTGGATTGCTTTGTGAACATTATAATGGTGCTCTTTTAGCCTTTCATTCAGGCATCGCCCCGTTTGGCCGAAATACCACATACCACATGGGAATGGAATCGCGTAAACAACCCCCGCTACACACGGCACAAACCGAGTTTTGTGCTTAGTTGCGCAACCAGTGGTACGTGATTTGAGAGGGTTCACTGCTTTGCAAAGCCGCTGTAACTTATCCGGCGCTGAAAACACCACTTTGACGCTGCATTTCTCCCCTATCTTTTTTAGCCGGTGGGAAATGTCATGCACGTAGGGTAAAACTACGGGTCTTTTTCGGTCGTTAGATTCCGGCTGAGCCTCGGAGTTGCAGTCTTTCTTTATCTGTTTTGATAGCTTTTCAGCTATAGATGCCAGTAAGATAGCTGGGTACCCAGCACTCAAAAGCCTTTCAGCTTTTCAGCGCGAAGAACCACTCACACCGTCTGCCGGTCACGGAACGAGAATCTGTAAGATTCTTCGCGCCGAGTGGTTGCGCCAGGCTCGCTTCTACAGGGATGCGTTACGCATCAAACTCCAGACAGCTGAAGGCATCATCAAGGCGAAAATGAAGTGGCGAGAACTGTCTACTTCAATTGACCGAAAAGCGGAGTACCTGTGGCAGCATATGCTCTTCCACCTTCGTGCCATGACCCCCGTGAAGGTGACTGCAACGAGCAACCCTGTACACACTCTGGGCGGTGTTGTGCTCCCTGAAGCGGTTCAACGCGTATTGTGCCGCGGACCGAAGTTCGCCACGGAACCAGCCAATTCGCCGTACGATCTGCTCACCTACGTCAGGCAAGTGGCTCGACAGATTCCTGAGGGTGAAAGGGACAGGTGTGTTGCCGATGGCGTTGATGTGGTTTCGCGTTTCAAGCCTTCGACCAAAAAACTGCCATTTAAGAAAGTCGTGGGACACTTAAAAGACAATTCACTAGCTCTGTTACCTTCTGACAAAGAGGGAGGTTTTGTCGTTTTACCGAACTCTTTATTTATTGAGAAAGCAACCACAGCTGTTCACTCCGTCTTTAGAGCTGAGGATGACACTTCCCTCAGCAAAGTTAAATCCCAGGCAAAAAAGCTGTGTGCCACCTTGGGTTTCGAAAAACTTGCCAAAGCAGTGGATAAGTGCAAAAAGCTTAGCCTTGATGTGTTCTTTACGGCCAAAACACACAAGGTCGATTGCCCTCTGCGGGTAATTGTGACAGAGAGAGGAACATGGCAAAAAACTGTGGCATTATTTCTGCAAGAAAAACTCAATTTGCTCACCATCGATGACCCCTTTTTAATTAGGAATTCGGACATTTTGGTTAACTTTCTGGAACATAACGACAGGGGCTTAAGAGCACTTTCGGTCGATATAAAAGATTTGTATTACTCTTTGCCGCATGAGAAGTTGTTACAGTGTGTTGACAATGCCATTGACTCATTTGGTGCTGTAGCCTTCCAGAATCTCACGGGTGTCCATAACAGTAACCTCTTAGAGCTTCTGTCCTTTTACATCAAGTCGACTTTTGTATCTTTTAATGATCGTAAATACATACAGAATAGTGGTGTCTGCATCGGGTCATGCCTCGCCCCGACCCTTAGTGACATATACCTTGCATATCATGACCGGTTGCTGAAGAGCATGCTGGACCAAAATATTGTCACCAAAATATGTCGTTACGTAGACGACTTTTTAATTTTCATTGACTGCAGCGACGCTGCCTGCCAGCACCTAACCGACGGTATTGTATTGACTTTTAAAGAATGTTTTAAACCGCTTTTATTGACTCATGAGTTGCCAGTTGACAGTAGCTTACGCTTTTTAGATTTGAATTTAATTCTTTCACCTGACCATGTGTGCTGGCTATTTGAACCTAGAAATGGAAAACCCCTTTTACCCTATGACTCTTCCCATTCCAAGTTAGTTAAGCGCAGCATCACAAATCTTTCTCTCATCAATCCTCTTAGGAAATCGTGTCATCATGTCATGTAGCGCAGCTTTGCAGCTCAAGCTGAAAGGCTTTTGAGTGCTGGGTACCCAGCTATACTACTGGCATCTATAGCTGAAAAGCTATTAAAACAGATAAAGAAAGGCTGCAACTCCGAGGCTCAGCCGGAATCTAACGACCGAAAAAGACCCGTAGTTTTACCCTACGTGCATGACATTTCCCACCGGCTAAAAAAGATAGGGGAGAAATGCAGCGTCAAAGTGGTGTTTTCAGCGCCGGATAAGTTACAGCGGCTTTGCAAAGCAGTGAACCCTCTCAAATCACGTACCACTGGTTGCGCAACTAAGCACAAAACTCGGTTTGTGCCGTGTGTAGCGGGGGTTGTTTACGCGATTCCATTCCCATGTGGTATGTGGTATTTCGGCCAAACGGGGCGATGCCTGAATGAAAGGCTAAAAGAGCACCATTATAATGTTCACAAAGCAATCCAGGGCCACATGGAATTCACTGCCGCGATTGTGGATGTACCCCCATGTTTGATCAATGTGAAGTGGTAAAAAAGCACCCGTCACAATTAACTCGAGAAATTATAGAAGCGCATTGTATAGCAAGAGCTGGCAGCACGTGTATTAGCGCCCCTTCTTTGGTTTTATCTGAACATGAAGTGGCCTTCCTTAATCAGGATAACCGCCTATGAATCTGTGATATGTGACGTGCGATGTTGTGTGTAATCTTGTCGTTGCGTTAGGGTGGTTTTGTATGCTTGCGCCGGTCTACATATTTGATGCAGTTTGACACTAAAGCTCAGTTGGAAGTTAGCGCTCTGTCCTCTTGTGTGGGTCTGCTCGGCCGTTTCTTCTTCCCCGTAATGCGCTATACCAGTTCAAGTAGGGCGTCATATGGTTTTCCGCACCGCTCGCGATGACGCCAACGGCGCCTTTCCACGCTCGGCGAGGCCATCTAAGACTTTCGCCTTAATGAAGCGTCGTGCATTTCGCCTGACGTCGTCCATTCGAAGACAAGGAAGCCTGCGACGCGGCCGAGCATGTCAATGGATCGAAAGTGTCTTAAGTTACCACGACTCTCCGAGGCGGCGATGGGCTGTTGCAACAATCGCTTATCGCGCAACATTATAGAGGCACTTTTCAGAGAGAGAGAGAGAGAGAGAGAAGAGACGCTAAATGCCCCTTCCGTGCACGCGTGCGCGCGGGGTAAACAGGACGAGAGCCGCGTCTTCAAATGGCGCAGAATGACGACTCTCCGCGCAGAGAGTGCCCATACGTCATATCGCGAGGCTTAGAGCACCCGGCCCTTTAAAAGCTGCCGGGACAAAATGACGGACGCAAATAAGTGCGGCCTGCAATTAAGCTATGCGACATGAGGGACCAAAAGAAAAAGATGGTTCCTGTATCGGCAACACTGTGCAGGAAGGCGTGGGAGCTTGTTGCCCCGAAAAAAAAAACAAAGGGTGTTTGCACAACGCTTCTTGCATATCGCGCGCGCACACACACACAGAAAGAAAATAAAACGAAAAAAAAAAACAAAGGCTGGCAGCCAAGCATGGCACGCGGAAGAGCAGATAAAAGGGATGAGAGAGATGTTTAACGCGCCCGATGACGCGTCGCGAGGGGCAGTTTGCGTGCCGCATCGGAGCGCATCAGAAAGTGGACCGCGGGGGTAAGTGGCGGCCTCCGTGCTTCAATTCAGTACTTGAACGCAAGCGCTGAGAGCCAACTAAAAAAAGTTGTGCCGCGTGAAAATCATAATTAAAAAACAAGAAAACAACGCAACAAACGGGTTATACCGAGTCACTCTCAAACAATCGTGCGTTACAAACGGCCCCAAAAGGCTTCCGTATTTTTTCTGGCTTTTTTTTTTCTTATCGTTCGAGACGTTAGGCGCAACTTGATGTCTCGTAGAAGTGTGGCAGCTTGGGCTAGTTGGTATGGCATGACGATAGTTATAGCGCGAGAACAAAACGACGACACAGAGACAAGAAGGACGCGAAGAACACGAGCGCTCATGTCCTTCGTGTCCTTCTTGTCTCTGTGTCGTCGTTTTGTTATCGCGCTATAACTATCGTCTTGATGTCTCGAACAGGAATCGCATTCCACCGCGGTGAAGCAGCGGTTCTATGATGCTCGGCCGTTGACCCGAAGGTCGCGGGTTCGATGCCGGCCGCAGGCGATCCCATTCCCGATGAAGGCGAAGTGCTGGAGGCCCGTGTATTGCGTGATGTCGTCGGTGCACGCTAAAGAACACCTGATGCTCGTGATTACCTGAGCCCTCCGCTCCGCTGCGGCGTCTCTCATAATCACATCTCGGTTTTGGGACGCTCAAACCCAGATATTATCAAAAAGCAACGCCTGCGGCACGCGTACTTACAATAATATTATCCCGGCACATTTCACGGCGCTTTCTACAGGTGATCCTATACATCGTCGACTATAATACTATATATAGGCGGCAATGCCGGTTGCACGTTTTCTTTAGATGCACTTGTCACGGCTAACTCCTTTGCGAAGACCTACTGTAGCCACGACTTTTTCTAATTGTTGAAGCGTGTCGTCTACAGGGCATGCGTTAGCCAGGACTTGATTAACAGTGTAGAGGGGACACACGTCAAGTCAACGCATGTGCATAGTTCAAGGAGCAGAATAACTTGCGAGTCACCACCACCGCATTTGGACGGCGCTCACAGCCGTACACGCATGCACGAAATACACACGTTAACGTTCACACGTTGATGTTCACATATACGCTAGCGCAAAGATATATTTATACCGTTCATTCGTGGCATGCGTGCGCTGTGAACGTTATCAGGGCACCGTATACGAATCCTTGGCTCTGCTTACCTTGTCCTTCCGCATGAGGAAAAGGATGTCCTCGATGGCCACGGCTTTGGAGCCACGAAGCATGGCCACCTCGGCCGCACGATAAAACTGAAAAGGACAAAACAGAGCACGCTTTTAAGACAGTCGTGTTTGCTAACAATGGCAGCCGCAAAGCTGTTATAGCTGTTTAAAGCGGACGTGTTATTTAAGGATGATGCCTTAGCAAGTAACGAAGTGATGATTTGAATAAGAAAAAAAATAGAACTTTAAGGACTCGTTTCCCTGTTAGGCCCCTACCTTAATATAAACCAGAAAATAATAAAGCTAAACAAGGTATATTGAACGGTAATAGTACTTAGGTACTAGTATTAATAGTATAGTATTAAGTAATTAGTAGCCCTTGTGATCTGCCTAGATGTGAAGAAAGTAAATTGGACGAAAAGACAAATTGCCGCCGGGAGAGATCGAACACGCAACCTACGAATAACGCGCCTGATGTCAATCAATCTACCGTTGCGGTCGTCTTATTGTCCTCTTTACCAGGTATTTACGGGTAGGCAAACCATGAGAGTATTAGCGCCGTCCGTAGCCATGACGGCGAGCGTAAAACACCTTTTTTTCCGCTCAGCTGGAGAGCGTTTTTTCAAAGCACACAACACGCTAGAACACAGTGGCGGAAACAAAGACAGCGTGAAAGACGGAGCACAAGAAAGTGAAACAAAACGGACACAGACAGCAGCGCTGACTTACAATAATGTTTATATTCGTCAACACCACGCAGTATATGCGCAGTCCCAAACGAAAGAAAGAAAGAACAGTGATAAAGACAATGATAAAGCATGATAAAAAAAAGAAGGAACTATCAGCATCATCACTGCTCACCATGCACACTGCGCATGTAAACATTAGACAGATAGTCAATTTCTTTGCCTGTCAAATCAAAGTGAAGAAGTAACAGTGACCTCCTCTTTTTTTTTTTCTTGTTCTCCGTCTTTGGCGCCTGTTTTGTTTCCACCAAGTCGTACCAATACGCCCAAGCATCCACTTCAGCCACTTACGCTGGACCAGTTCGGTTGCCTTTTCTTCCCTATTCCTACATATAGGGCTTCTCAGGTGCTAAATAAAGCATATACAAGGACGCTGCAAGAGCAGAGACATTGCAAGTATAGGCGCAGACAGCGGGTTGCAGCAGGGCACATTTCACGCCGATACTGGACAAAACGAAGGCTATATGCCGACAACTTTTATGAACAGTAGTCTTATAGGGAACGATCTCCTACACTACTCAGAGCCTACGCTATACGAGTTCGCTCGTTCGTCCTCGTTATAAAGGAAAGATTTTCGCGAGCCTGCCATCCCAGGTAACTTTCGGGGACAGTGGCGCAGGCGGCCATTACTCGTAGTATATATACGCAGGCCGCATCCTGGTTTTGCAAATTATATCAAGGCTAACTGTAAAGCAAAAGTAACACCACGCACGCTGCATGCCCACGTTCTCCGTCCTTAACAGTCCGGCGCTTTTCGCGTTTGCTCTGTCCAAAACGTACACGCGCGATTGATCGCTACACTCATCTGCATAGCTCAAGCACACGTCTCTCTTTCTGTGGCTTACGTTGCTTGAGTGCTGTCGGTATCTTCTTGAATGTACAAAGACCAGAGAGAGATGACCGAAGAGGTTCCGGGAAGCAAGCAAACGGCGCACAGTTGCTGCTAATGCGCCGATTCCATCAGACACGGCGAAATTTTAAATGTGAACGGGAAAAATGCTGTAAAAAGTAATAACATCGCTCGCGACGAGATGCTATAGAGTCATCTACATATCATCCGGTATACGCAAAGTTTTATTTCTTCCTTCTTTTTTTTTTACTCCTCGAAAACGCGGCGGTTCGGGTCTCACCGACGAACGATGGGTATAAATATGCATGCGATGCGCCCTCCCCCCTTCTCCCAATCGCTCTTTCTACATCACACACACGCGCACCAGCTTCAGCAACTGATACTCCTGTCCTGGACGTAACAACGAATTCGTATCGCTGATGCGAGCTCGAGAAAGTCGTTCGTCGTAGTCGACGGCAAGCCATATCCGAAGTTGCTATACTTCGTTTGAGAGGATTCGGATGAAGGAAGATTTCGAGAAAAGCGTAGGAAACGAGTCGTGAGCGAAATACCGTCACGTGACCCGCAAAACGACCGCCTCCAAGGCAGCTAAGAAACGCCTTCGAGGAGAGAGCGAGAGCGCGCATTCTAGCTAGTGACGTAAGAGGAAAAAAAGGAGGAGGGGGAAGCAGAGACTAAGGCGTAATAACAGTACATAGGTCACACAGTTTCAAGGGTTAACATGCTATCAGCGACTGTGCTCTTCTGTAGAGTTGAGCGAATCTGCGAAGACAAAAAAAAAAAGGACTAAACGTTTAGACCGTTTGCCAGAAGGGGGGAGGGGGTGGTGGAATGATCCTAACAAGCTCACATAAAGCCGCCCATATCGGTATACATCATCAAACATTCACGAGTGAAGTGCATCTCCGCAATCGACGTCACATGAAACGCCGCGGGCGCACTGCGGTGCGGATAGGGTTAGAGGACCGCCTTTTTTATTCATAAATCGGCTGCGACTCCTATAGATTTTCTCGAATCCAACGACGACGGATTGCCAGCACTACATATCGTGCACGCCGATATTGCGCAAGGGAAGTCTATCTGATGAGGGAGAAAGAAGAGCAAGGAAGATGAGGGAGATTAATAATAATAATATTATCATTATCTGAGGTTTTACTTCCCAAAACCACGATATGATCATAACAAACGCCGTAGTGGAAGGCACCAGAAATTCCAACCTTCTGGCGTTCTTCATGATGCACTGACAACGCCCAGCACACGGGCCTCCGGTACGTAGGAAGGTTAACCAGACCATCTTTCTACCCTGGAATAGAGGAAATGATGAAGTGGCGGAAAGAGAGACATATTGAAGTGGGATGTGAGAGATCAGACTGTCAAAATGACTATATTTTCCTAAGCTAAATGTTCGTCTTAGCTCATATACTAATGTGCTAAGTTGTGCTGAGAAATGAAGGAGAAAAAAAGTATGCCGCAATTTCTACAGGTGCACTGACATATTACACAACCCGCTAAATAAAACAGAGCTTGCCGTGTCTACTAATTTTCAATGAAGAACTAGGGGGGTTGTTCCGAGATAGCATAGAAGCTTCTTATACTGTACTAGAGAAGGCCAAGTTTCCACGACATCGCCACGACTATAAACGCGAAGGAGAGAGAGAGAGCGAATAGCGTGCCACTGGGAAATAATAACCGATGGAAGGAGGAATGAGAAAACGCGTCAATGTGAGAGCGCAGGTAATAACGAAAGCTGAGATGAGGCTACAAAAAAAAAAACTTTGTAAAAAATCAGTGTTCCGATAAAAGAAAAACTGTCGCCAAACACGCCGAGTCTCCCAGCATCGTGTATTCTGTATTCGCTACTACACAGCAGAAAAAATAAATAAAACTAAAGAACGAAAATTCGGGTGATCATATATCACCTTTCTTTCTTACGCAAATAATTCCATACCCGCACAAAATATGAGACCATCACGCACGTTTATTTTCTTTCTTTCTTTGTTTCTTTCTTTGTTTCTTTCTTTCTTTCTTTCTTTCCTTCTTTCTTTCTTTCCTTCTTTCTTTCTTTCTTTCTTTCTTTCTTTTTCCTTGCAACGTGATAGCACACCGCTAAGACGCTTTGGTAAGGGGCGCTTCGGTAAGGGGAAAAAAAAAAAGGATGCACCGACTATAAATTGGCTTCGCGTTCGCGCTTTATGAGTGCAACGTTGTCACCTTCGCTGGATCAGGCGTTCGCATTGTCTCGGATGTCTTTCTAGCGCGACAGAGAAAGCATGAGGGTTATACGCTCGCGCAGATCTATCCCGAGAAGATGGGTGCATCTCAAAGCAACGAAATTTCGTTCAAGACGCCTGCGTGCACAGAGATGCAACGCGTGTAACGGGAGTCCGCATAGATGCGCCGACGCGTGCGCTAACGTCGTCGTCGTCGTCGATCGGACTGCTGCGCGCGCGACGTATCGTGTTGCGAAGACGCGTAATAATAAGAACGTCGGCGGAACCGGGCCCCGACGCGTCGATGCTCGGAGGAAACGCGAAGAAATTACGGGATCGAGTACGTGAACGCTGAAATGCCGAAAAATAAACAAAAAAAAATAGAAAAAGAAACGAGCGACGAGAAACACGAGAGGTGCGAAATATGACGAGGCAGAGTGGCTAAATGGTGCGTTACAAAAAAAAATTATAGCAGATAAAAGTTATTCGACTACGGACACTATCGAAATTTAGCGTAAAATCATTGCAAAGTCAGATTTGATTTTCAGTGATTCAAAGACAGCCATCCGAAATCTGGCGAGGGGCAGAATATCGGCGACCGCTGCACGATTTCTGCATAGGGCCACGGGACGAGAAATGAGAGAAATAGAAATTGTCTGGGTACCAGCACACTCTGGGAACCCTGGGAACGAGGCGGCTCACCTGAATGCTCGAGGTTTCGTCAGCCGGGTAGGTGAGCCGCCAGTTCCGGGGAGGTCCGCGAGAGATGGGCTGGTGTCCTTTCATGACATAACGAATCATTATAAACTAGAGCGGAGGTTTTATCCGCCCCCGCACAAGCGGTTGACTAAGGCACAGGAATGCGTCTGGAGAAAACTGCAGACGCGATCTTTTCCCAACCCTTACGTGTTGAACAAAATGTACCCGGAGGAGATTAAGCCGCAATGCAAATGGTGTCAGGCTGTGGCAACATATGATCACATACTTTGGGAATGTAGCATAGTGCCGCCGCCGGTGGATATTATGCGTGATCCCTCTCTTGAGCACTGGGAGGCCGCGTTGACCAGCTCAGACCCAGTCGTCCAGTTAAGGGTCGTGGAGTGGGCCACACAGGTCGCCGCCAACCTTGGGTTGATGGCCATCTAACACGGAATCATCCTCAGTTGCTTTCTGACGAAATAAAGTTTTTCCATCCATGCAAAGCGACGCGAAAGACTAACCAGAAGTATTTCTCGCGCTGCTTTACAATGAAGTTAAGGCAACGAGCTCAGTTCCGCACGCTATTCTAGTGTAGGACCTCGGGCATGTTGATGAGACGTCGGAAGGAACACTGTACAGGAGAAGACGGAGTCAAGGAAGAGCGACGTACACGCATTACCATTGCTATATGTGATTACTATGCGGTAATGTTGTGTTTATAGCCATAAACGAGCCAAGATAGCAGGAGAGCGCGTTATTTTGCTTACTCACCACGCACTTGATCTGCTGCGTCACGATGTCTTCCACCAGTTTGACAGACTCGAGCAGCGGTTCACTGCTGTCGCCAAAGCCGTGCCTGCACACGACAGAAAAACAAAAACAAAAAACGAAGAACACAGAACAACGTTCGGGTTTACGGCGGTTTCTTTCAACGCCAGGTTTTTTTTTTTTTTATTGTACAACATCAGCACGTCAGACCACGGGCAAGAGCCAAACCACCATATATTGTGGGTTCGTTTTCCTTACTTCCGAAAGATTTCTATGACATAATGTCGATTCGGAAGTTGCTTGATACCATTTTGATATACCACCTGCCTAAAATAATTCCTGAACGTTGGTACGTGATCTTTAACTTGTGCAGAAAGGAGTATACGGGAATAGTGCAGTAGTGAAATAAACCTAGAGTCGACGTGTTCATTGTCGAAGTTAGGCGACAGGTAAAAAATAGCATAAAAAAGAGGGCAGCGGTGATTTCAAGCTGAGCTAAACGCGACTCAACCAAATTGGCCGGTTTTTCTTTTCTTAATAATTAAGTGCACCGTACAAGCATAAACCCAGAAATACACGCCACAAAACTAATGTACACCAAGCTCGGAGGACCAAGTTAGTAAACACGACCGAAACCGACAGCGCGTCAGCGGTATAACTACTCAGCACGAAACAAATTAAATTAAGTGCGGCTGCACACATGAAAAAACACTTGGAGTCCGAATATCTAATGGTAAGATACAACAGGTTAGTCTTCGATTCTCTCCCATTCAACGCCAACAACCCAAATGTCACCACATTTAGACAAAGGCAACACGTGTCAACAATCACTCCTGCTATCCCCTGCCCTTCCCCCCAACCATTCTCCATCTTTTCGTTTTACGCTATAGCTAGCGTATTAACCATTTTCAAAGGTGCATCAAGCCCATAGGTATGTGCAAGCGGGGAGAGGCGACGTCACCCCCCCCCCCCCTCTTCCAGTCACTTAAAAGAGGGGGAGCAAAGTCTGCCCCACACTTTGACTTAATAGAGGGGGGTGCTACAATAAACCTTCGGCCGCCCAACCCCCCCCCCCCCCCCCCCGAATGGGGACCCAACGCACGCCTATGAGGAAGCCAGAGCGTACGAAGAGCACCACCTTGCAGGCCAGCTCACTTCAGTTCCAAGTAAGCGCGAACAGATATAATACTGACAGCAATCAGAAATAATAAATGCCGGTACGTAAAGCGCGCCATGAGGAACGTATAATAACAAAACTTTTAACGCACTCCTAAGGACGTAAGCGAATGCCCGGTAAAGAGAGGAAGTGTCGTGCCCTTGTATTTGTGCAAGCGGGTGATAGACACCGAGGGGGAAGCAGATGACCCGCGGTACCTGCGATGCGTCGAATAAAAGAAGGATAAAATAAAGATATAAGAAGGAGTGAAATAACGAGAAGAAGCTGCAGAGAGAAAAAAAAAACGAACGATCGCAAAGCGCAAGAATGCCTCGTGTTCCCCACCGAATTTTTTAATAATTTTTTTTTCCTTCTTCATCTCCGAGCATTGCCCGTATAGGTATCCACGGTACGCGCATAATCTGCGCATACATCCAAGGAGCGAATGCATAATGAATGACAATAACTCAGCGCACCATCGAGACGATGAGAAGAACGAGGGGACGGTGTGATCGAGGAGCCGTGTGGAAGATGGTGGAGAGATACGGGACGAGTAGAGAGAAGCGGAGAGGAGGAGCGGCGCCATACAGTTGCGATAGCGGATCAAAACGAAATAGCAAGAAAGAAATGCTCGGACTACACGCGTGCTCGCGATGCTATAGGAAGGAGGGGGGGGGGTGCTCTGTGGGATCTGCAGATCCGCATCAGGTATACCCGGCCGCGCACCCTTTGTGAGAGAAAGGTTTCGCCGACGATGAGGTACCAAGAAATAAGAAAAAGATGACGCGAGTGAGAGAGTATGTGCCACAGCGTTCGCGGCGCTATCGGCCAATTCCGCCGGAAGAAACGCGATATATGGCGGAGAAAGAAAGCAGACAGGCTCCTTCCTTCCTTCCTTTCGCGCACGAGGATTCGAATATGAGAGTCGATCGCCATCGTCCGATTCGCCCCGTGTTGCGATTAGCACGAGCTCTGGCTACGAACCAACGAACACAACGAAGAGAGCGAATTTGGGGAAGTATACTACATCAATGCTCCGCATGAAGGACAGCGTAAAATTTGGGGTTAGTTTTCTTTGTTCGATGCAATAATAATGAGAGCTAACAGACAACTGGACATTCACAGACAAACAAGCATCCCACAATATTAATTAGAACTAACAGACAATAAGACAATAATCAGCCTGACTACGTCCACTGCAGGACAAAGGCCTCTCCCATGTTTCGCCAGTCAACTCGGTCCTGTGCTAGCTGCTGCCACTTTATACCCGCAAACGCCCTAATCTCGTCTGCCCACCTAACTTTCTGTCTCCTTTTATAGACCGCTTGCCTTCTCTGGGAATTCAGTGAGTTACCATTAATGACCAGCGGTTATCATGCCTATACGCGCTACATGCCCGGCGCACGTCCATTTCTTCTCGATTTCAATTATTATATCCTTAATTAACCACAGTTTGTTCGCTGACCCAATCACCTCTCTTCTCGTCTCTTAAGATTACGCCTATCATTTTCCTTTGCATCGCTCACTACGTCGTCCTCAGTTTAAGCTGAACCCTCTTTGTAAGCCTTCAGGTTGCTGCTTCGTAAGTACCGTCCAGATGTAGCTGTTATATACATCAGACAATCAGGCATCCACAGACAAACAGACATCCTTGGCACTATCGTCTGTTCTCATTAATGAATGCTCTGCGTGATTCCAGCGCAAAACGCAATGAAGGAGTTCAATACACAGCTGAAGTGTTCTGGGAAGTAACTAGATTTGAAATGATGCCAGCAGGAAGCTTGCCAGTTCGGACATTGAGAGTGATTTGTAATAACACACGTAAATGCTGGCTCTGTAATAGCAACATTCGGAAGCGTACAAAGAGAATCATCGATTTCAACGAAGTGATCTCCAACGAAGTGAATCAGGAGCGACGAAGGCAGTGTTACGGATATATTTTACCGCAAGGATACGAGCCGCTGGGTCTATACCCGAACACACTCGTTCATCACAAGCAGGGCAACTTTAATTAGAAGAAGCGTTATAGTACAAGACTGGTCACACTGCAGTAAATGCTTTTCGCGGAAAACAGGGCGAGAGCACTTAGGACATGGTACGTACTGGGTCTCACTTCTGCGATTCGCTGTCGTAAACGCGAGAAGCGTGGCAAATCGAGAAGTTGCAGAAGGGTCGAAAAAAAAAAACATCGTCTTCGTGAACCGGCACGCACTCTCTTTATCCTCCTCTTCACCTTTTCCTTCGTTCCGAGAACACGCACGCATGTTTGCGCGGCGTGGAATGCAATAACTCTGATGGGCGAGAGAGCGAGACGGAGAGAAAGAGGGCAGGGCATATAAACAGAGAGAGATGAAGAAACAAAAAAGAGATGCCAAGCATAGCCATGGTATAGTATTACTAAGGCGTGAGAGGGGGAAGTGAGCGAAAGGGAAAGAACGGGGTGAGAGAGTAAAGAACAGCACAGCCTTGTATTACACAGCAAGAGGTAGGAAAGAAAGTCGAGGGAGAAGAGGAAGGAAATGCCACCAGCACCACTGCTTCCTCAATATTCGCGCCACTGATGTGTAGTTACCCCAATTTTAATGAAGACACTCAGTTTCATCCCTTTGAACAATGCAACCTCAAAACCTGGTATACTGCTCCGTACCGGTAGCTTCGAAATGAAGAGGACGAAGGGAAGCACGACAAAGATGATAGACTGGCGCGACATGATCAGTATCGATAGTTGCAAACATATTTGTGTCAAATCCTTCGAGTCTGTATCCTTCCTAAATCATATTGCCACGTTCTTTTCTCAACTTTTCTTATCACCACATTACACGCGCATGTGCTGCCTTGCGCAACCATGCCCATTGACAATAGAACCATCGAGATAACCGCAGAACCATCCCATGCGATTACGCTCACAACGGAAACATTACAGATTCTTCTCGAACTTACTACGTCGCCGCTAGCGATAGCGCTGCAATATTCGATGATACATGTATAAATGTTCACGCGCGTCATCACTAGTCAGTTGATAGACGGCCGAAACTCTGCTCGCCGCTCTCAGTATCAACGTGTATCGCTGTAATCAGACTTGTCGATGACCGGCCACAAGTTCGATGATATGATGATGACATGTAGAGTTTAACGTCCCAAAACCACCATATGATTATGAGAGAAGCCGTAGTGGAGGGCTCCGGAAATTTCGACCAGCTGGGATTCTTTAACGTGTACCCAAATCTGAGCACACGAGCCTACAATATTCCGCCTCCATCGGAAATGCAGCCGCCGCAGCCGGAATTCGATCCCGTGACCTGCGGGTCAGCAGCCGAGTACCTTAGCCATCAGACCACCGCGGTGGGGCAGCGGCCACAAGTTCGGCCGAGTAAAACAGTTTGATCTTCGAACTACAGTCTGATCCCTTCGTCGACGTCCCGACCCCGTGACAATACTTGGTGTGACATTAGAGAGTTTTAGTACTGCGTACGCTGCGTACGTGGCGGCGTTGCGTACGTAAGGACGCCACGTTCTGCGTAGTGCGCATGCGCAGACCGCAACGCGCACGTATCGCGTTACGTACGCAGCCGCTACGTACGCACGCATGAGATGCGTGCGTGCGTACGTATGAGCTGATCGCGCCGCTCTCGAACAAGTTCGCGAAAGCGCGAGACTTCGTTTTGCAAAATGGCGGCATCGAAGGCAAGTACCGACCGGCTCTGTGGCTTAAAATATGGCCATAATCTGGCTATAACACTTGGATTGGCTCACATTGGCTGTCAACAACACGTGCTTCTATTTTGATCTACCAGATGACGCAACACGCTTCACGCTCGTTACGTACGCGGGTACTACGGCGTATTAAAAGCCGATTAGTGGCAAACGATGCCACGTAACGCAAGGCGCTTGCGTGATGCGTACGTAGCACCATTCCGCAGTACTAAAACTCT